TGCAATTTATTTATTGCCATTTTTCAATAAAATTTTCATATTTCTCACTGTATTTTTCCTTCTTTTTCGTTCCTTTATTCTTTTATTATTTTGTTTTTTTTTTTTATTTTATTATTTTGTTGATTTTTGCTAATTTATTTGTTTATTTTGTTTCTTATTCTTCTGTTCATTCAATTCTTTTTCATTTATTCAATTGCTATTTTTTTATTCATTCAATTCTATTTTATTTACTCAATAATTTATGTTTACTTATTGTATTTAATTGTATTTTAAAAAAAAAAAATTTTTTTTGTTCACTTTTAAATAAAACCTATGTTTTTTTTTTTTCGGATTGGTACTTTAATAGTGCTTTTTCTTCCTTTTTTTTCTAACTTCAATGAATTTATGCATTAATTTATTGATTTATTTAATTATTTGTTTATTTGCTTGCTTGCTATCTTTAAAAAAAAAGTTAATTAATTTCTATAAATAGATGAAATAATCAATTTTTCTTCTTGCTTACATTTGCAATTTAGCAATGATATATTTTATCGTCCAATAAAATATCAAATTGCATATGTCATCGCTTTATTTTATTTTATTTTATTTTATGATTAATCTTTTAGTTATTATTGACATTTTGAAAGAAATTAAAAACAAACTTTTCAAAATTTTGGATTATTTTCAACAAACAAAAAATTGAAATTTTCATCACTCAAATCAATTCAATATTCGCTTTTGATACTTTAACAATTTGTTACAAATTTTTTTTTTTTTTTTTTTGAAACAAATTATATAATTCATATTGACTTTTAGTTTAATGAAATAATAATATTTACACATTTATCTAATTTTCATTAATTTATTAATTTTGATGAGTTAAAATAAAAAATGCAAATTAAGGAGCATTTGTTTATCGAATTGATTTTGTAATCAATTTTTCTTCCTTTTTTTTTTCTTCTTTAAATGAAATCATGAAAATAAATATTTTGGAAGTAAAAAAAAAGAAAATCCTTCATAAACTTTTTGCAATTTCAAATTCAATTTTTTTTTTTTTTTTGCTAATGCAAAATGAAAAATTTTCTATTAACTTTTTTTTTTAGTAGGATTGAACTAATTTGACATCATTATAACTTGTCCAGATGTTTTGTTTCATTCCAACTATCTTTTTCGTTATTATTCATTTGTTTGTTTGTTTGTTTGTTTCTTTGTTTGCTTGTTTGTTTCTTCCATTCTTCCTTTTTCTCAATTCAAATTTCACTAAACTAAAACCAAATTTTCATTCTTTCTTCTTTTTCACTGTTCAAGTAAAAAAAAAAAAAAAGACTTATATATATGATTAAGGTTTTTTTTTAAAAAAGAAACTTTTTTTTTCAGTAAGAAAACTTGTAATAAATTAATCTATTTTAATTTCATTTCAAATCAGTGCACAACATTAATTAATTAATTAAATCATTTTTCAAATATTTATTTGTATAATTTTTTTTTCTCCCAATTTTCTCAAATTGTTTTTATATATGCAATCGTCGAACAAAAATTAGGAATTCAAAAAAAAAAAAAAACGGAATGAATGAACGAATGAATATGAAAAGTGAAATGAAGAAATGAAAAAGTAAAGCTATTTTTTAATTCTAAATTTTTTTCCTTTTTGTTAGATAGCCAAGAAAAATTTTTGTAAGCAAAAGGACATTGAATAATAATATTTTTACATTTCTTTTTTTTTCCGCCTCTTTCTTTTTCTCTTTCTTTTGCTTATTTTTTTTTTTTTTTTGGTTTTCATTTCATTCCTTTTCATTGCTTCTAATTTTATTGGAAGCATACTAAATAAGCATATGCTTGCTTGGCTTATTCTTTCGTCCTAAACTTAATCAGCCTGAAAAAAAAAAAAATTTTTTTTTTTTATTGACTTGTCCTTGTTGTTAAGTTTTTGAAAGATTTTACCATGTTATCAATGTCTTTTATTTTTTTTTTCTAACAATAAGGGCATTTTCTTTTTCTTAAAAAAAAAAAAAAAAAAATAATATTATTATTATTATTATTTCAACAATTCAAATTTATATGTAACAAATTTTTAGGGTTTGAAATAAAAAGAATCTTTTTAATTTTTGGCTTTTATTTCTATTAAAATTTGTTTTTGTTTTTGGAAAATATTGATTACTTAAATTACAGCATAATTCTTTAGAGATAAAATAAAAGAAATTAATTTATATTAATGTATTGCAATTATTATTTGCACATTCATAAATTGTTATATCTTTCATTTATTACAATTCAAAAGTTTTTAACAATTTAAATTACTACGCTAAAATGCGATATTTAAAAGATAATAAAATCTTCTTAATTTGAAAGTTGTAGCAGCTAATTAATTAACTAATCAGCTAGACTAGACTAATTGATAATTACACGATAATTTTGTTAATTTTGATTGTAATGGTAAAAAATTTGTTCCGTCTTGCATAGTAATATGACAATACTAAATAAAATATAAAATATAATGTGATACCAGTAATACTAAGATAAATCAGTGATAATGATTAATTAATAAATGTAATAAAATAATTTGAATTTATCAGCTAAATTTTAATTTAACTTATTTAATTTGATAATTAATTTAATCTAATTTATCATCTTGCTATTTCTAAAATTATTTAATGCACGAAAAGAGGTAATAAAAAATTAAAAGATAATTAAATTTTTCTTAGACGTAAGGATATTTTGAAAATTTTAAAATGTTTTTATTCATTTCAAAAGAAATAGTTTTATTGCTAAAAGAGAGAATTAAAAGTTCAAATAAATAATAAGGAAAAAAATTATTGGAATATTATATTACCGCAAAAAAAAAAAAAAAAAAAAAAAAAAAAAAAAAAAAAAAAAAAAAATTGGACTTATTCATTTGATAATACAAACAAAATTTAATGGAAAAATGACGTATCATGAAGAAATTCACAATTTTCATCTATCATTTTTCTGAAGTTTTTTTTTTTTCTTCTTCGCTTTTTTTTTATCCCTTCAATTATTCTTTATTACTATCGTTAATCAATCAATTCACAAATAATAATGAAACAATAACAATAACAATAAAAAAAAAAAAATAATAATAAACACTTTTTCGAAATAAAAAAGCAAAAATCTTTATTACTATCATTAATCAATTAATTCACAATAATAATTAATAAAATTTCAAGAAAAAAAAAGTCGTTAATCGTTAATCAATTGGTTATATCATCATAAAAGTAATAAATTTTTTCCAAAAAAACAAAACAATTTTTTTCTTTGTTTCAAAAAAAAAAAAACAAAATTATATTTTTGTTTAAATATTTAAAGCATTGACAGAAAAAAAAGAAAAATAAATGAATGAATGGTTTTGTGTTTATTGTTGAAAAAGCAAAAAAAAAAAGAAGAAATATATATATGTATGTATACACATATTAATGATTAATGATAATTCTTTGTTTAATCCCCCACAGAGATTGTTTCTTTCCTTAAAAGTATCTTTGAAAAATCAATTTAAGTTTTTTAAATGCTTAAATTTTATTCCGTTTTTTTTTTTTTTTTTTTTTTGTTAAAAGTATTTGTTGTCAACTTTTTTTGTGAATAAACTTGTAATTCAATTGTTTTTATTACAAAAAATTTGAAATTTGAGCTAAAACAAAAAAAAATAGATTTAATGAAAGCTTCTATAAATTTATTTTTTAAAATTATAATAATATTATTAAAGTTTCTTATTTTTTTCTAAAGAAAAAAAAAATTTTGTTTACTTAGTCAGTTTTTCTTTCATGTATTTTTATTTTTTCATTTCTAATATAAAATATATGCCCAAATGTAGTTTTAAATAATTATCATTATTTTTACTATTGTATCGTATAATTAACTGACATAATCATAGTACATAATCATGATCATAGTATATAATCGTCATTTTATCATTACATTGTTAAAGAGATATATGAATTATCATGATCAAAGAGAATTATCATGATTTTATTGTTAAACTAAGAAATCATAGCATAAATTGCTACTTTTATAGCTATAAATATCCAGAAAATAGTGATTTGTCGTAGTTTTGCAGTTGGAATACTACGATAATCGTTTTTTTTTATTTGTTATATTATTATTTTTTTAATTGTTAGAATAATTAGCATATAATTAGGTATTTATAACTTAGTCAATAAACCTGTCCGGTTTGTCAGTTGTATTTTATTTATGACCGAATGATTCATTGATTACTGTTACACTTCAAATGTTACATTTTAATATAATATAATATAATAAATAGTGATTAGGCCGTAATTCGGATACAATCCGGTTATTTTTTTGTATTTTATAACAAATAAAGCGCTGTATGTTTTTTTGCCTTTTTTGAAAACTTTTCATATTGTTAAATATATCAAAAAAAAAAAACAAAAAAAAAAAAAAAGAAAAACAATCGAATTGATATCATTTCATAGTTTTTATTAAATAAAACTTTATGAATATGCATAAATTTTTTTGAAAAATTAGTAAAAAAAGAAAGATATACTTATGTAAGTTAAATTTCAAATATTTTATTGTTTAAATAAGTTTGTCTTTGAAATTTAATGAACATGATAGTGATAGCTGTATAATAATCTTATCATATTTAATTTTGATGCAATGCTATCGAGATTATTATTATCTTTGGCATTCATTAATAGTGATAATGATAAGGATGATCTTATCTGATTCTACAATGTATTAATATTCCGATTGTGATTTAATGTTTTACTAAACTCTCATGTTTTTTTTTTCCAGTATTCTGTTTTTTTTTACTTTTTAATGGAAAGGAAAAACATAAGCAAAAGTTTAAATTCGTCTTTTTTCGAAAATTTAGGACATGAAGATTTTTTATAAAAATGCGCTTTATTGATTAATTAAAAAATATGTTAAATGATTAATTGGGTTTTTAAATTTATGTAAATACAATTAATATTAATTTTGATTATAATTTTAATTAATCTCGAATAATATTTAGATAGTTTATAATTGTGATAATAATTGAGGTAATGTCTGCTGATTCTCAAACGTTACCTTGTTCACGTCCGTTAGCTGATAGTCGTATTGAGCAAAGCTATCACTTGGATCAGTTACGATCAAAATTAGCTCGTCTTGATATGCGTGATCTAGTTCCACAATTGGTTGCACGACAAGTGTTACGCTCACAAGAAATGAGTGCAGTGTATTCTGAGGTTTTTTTTATTATATTTCTAAAGTTTTGATAAATTGTTAAAATATTTAAAAATGAAGGATATTTTATATTTTGTTTTCAATTATATTAACTATTATTTTATTCATTTGATATAAATTTCATAAATTTTTTGTCAAGTATTTTCATTGATAATTTTGAATTGAATTTTGTATTTGAAATTATTTTTCCGCTTTTTTTTTTTCTGACAAATCAAACAATAAAATGAAAAATTTCATTGCTTTTTATTAGAAAATTGAAAAATCTTAATTTTCTTCAATGATTTCAAAAATTGGTACAAAATTAAATTAATATTAATCTTTCAACAATTATACACTATATTCATATCTTTTTGTTTGCCTAAAAAATTTGAAAAGAAGGCGCTAAGCGTATGAAAGATTATCAGTTTATCATGTTCACAAACATAAATCTATAAATTTTAGTCATAATATTATATATTTGTCTTTATTTCTTTGTTTTTTAGCTAAAATGCAGAATTCTTTTCTTTGGGATTTCTTTTTATAATATTATAATTAAAAATAATTATTTTAATTTTTTTATTTTCTTTTGGTAATTGTTATCATTATCAAGAATAATGTGTTATGCAGGAAAAACGTGAAGATCAAGTGGACAAATTAATTGAAATATTGAAAACGAAGAATCATTGGCTTGGACCATTGATCGATGCATTGATAAGAAATGGACAAGCTACATTAGCAAAGGAATTATTGGCAATAAACAATACAAAAACCAACAAATCTACTTGATTTTCTAATTTTCAAAATCTTTTCTGATTTTATTTTAAATTATCAGCGATATGTAAGTGATATAAATGATATAATATGCTATTATTATTATTAAATAACAATAATAATTAAAATATTGGATTGAAAAATTTAAGAAAAAATGAAAAAAAAAAATTGATATATAGTTAACAATGGTTTCATTGCAGTTTTTCATTTCATTTTTCCCTTTTTTTTTTCTTTTGTTAGCATAAATGCATTTTTATTTTTTTTATAACATTGATTTCTTTTTGGCTTTAATTTCTTCAATTTGTTCTATGTTCAATTAAAAATTCATAAAAAATAAACAAATAAAAAACGAATATCAAATATTTTGACGAATTTATGAAAGGGAATTGCAAATTTTCGCTTACGTCAATTTTTCTCAAAATTTTGCACTTTTTTTTCGAAAAATTTGATTAACACAAAAATTAATTAATAATTGAAGAATTTTAGCAGCAATCTCTTCTCTTCTTTCCTCCATTTTTTCTTTTCTTTCTTCTTTTTTTCTAGAAAATTTTCTAATGAATTTTGACAAAAAAGAAAAAAAAAAGACTATCAATTTTTTTTTTTTCTTTATTTATAATTAGCTGTTCGCTCTGTTCTTGTGCTATTTACATCAATTTATGGCCAAAAATATAATTAATAAATTACTTGGAGTAAATCTGTTTATTGGGATGCATTATTTTTTATTCTACTAATAGATTTGTTTTTTTATATATTTGAAACTACCCACACATATCTAATTTAGAATGAATGAATCACTTTGATATTTTAAAAAATTATAAAATTGTATAGCAAATAGTTTTTCAAATAAATGTCACAAATAAAATGGTTGTCAAATTAAATGAAAAATTAATAATTTAATCAAATAGACAAAATAATTTTTGGCATTTTTTGCTTTGTTTTTTTTTTTTTGAAGCATTTATTCTTTTTTATGAAAATAAAACTTTTTTTGCAAAGATTAAAAATTACTGTTTAAGATAGTTTTTCAATTTAATAAGTAAAAAAAAATCATCGATGATTCATCAACATTTTTGACTTTTTTTTCATCTTGATAATATTAATAAACGTAAAATAGCGGAAAAAAAGCAAGAAAAAAGTATTAAAGAGGTTTTGATAACTTTCCAATAATTAATTATTTTAATTGTATTTGAAAAAAAAAAAAACAAACCTAATTGTATTTGTTTATGAATTTTACTCTTATTTCATTATGAAAACAGTCAAATCCAAAAGTTTCAAGAAATTGCAATTAATTTGGTTACAAATTCATTGGATTTTTAAATTGATTAATTTTATAATAGCAAAAATTATTCAAAGATAAAACAGTCATTTGTTAATTTTTTTTTCTTTCTTTCTGAAAAACATTAAGAGATAATGTTTCGTTTTAAAGAACTTTACTTTTGTATAATTTTCTGAGTAAAAAATTATTTAAAAAAAAAAAAAAATATTATTTTATTTTTCTGAAAATTTTTTTTTCAGAAATTGCAATGAAATTGCAAGATTGCATATTCAAAATATTACATATTTTGATGTAATATAACTATAATTCCATTTAGAAGATAAAATTTTGATATAGCAAATCTGACTTCATCCATTAAGAAATTAAATCAAATTTTTGTTGAAATCTGTCTGATGTAAAACGATACAAAATAGTAATTTTTTTGATAAAAATTTTGCATAAGAAAATTAGTAGCAATAAGGAACAAAGATAGCAATTATCAATAAATCGTCAAAGGAAAGAACATATATGACAATTACAAACAAAAATCACAAAGGAATACTATAAACAGCTTCGAATCTTAAAGTATAAGTAAAATGAAGCTATGAAATAACTATCATGTTTCACGATTCGAAGAAAAGTATGACTGTAAAGCAGAAACTTGAAGAAATTTATGTAGGAAAATAGTCTAGAATAAAATTTAGGCTTAATTACTTAGACTTAAAGACAGGAAAAATTATCTGATCACAATGGATACAAAACACATTCGATATGATTTAGCTGTAATTAATAAATTCGATAATTTTGAACAAGTAATCCCGTAAATTAGTAGTCGTTTGATTTATCGTTAATTTGTTCTTAATTTTTATTAGGTATCTGAATTTTTTCTTTTTAATAGCTGAATTTTATGAAAGCTTAAATTTTATTTTATTTTATTTTTTTAGAAAATTATGAAGGCTAAAAAATAATATTGTAAACAAAATGTTTATTCATTAAAACTGACGAAATGGAAATGAAAAAAGGAAGGTGGTTGTTGGATAAAATGAAATAAAATTTATCGCTACCAAATAATCAAGGAGAATTCTGGTGGAGGAGGAATAATTCATATTAAAATTATTCAATCAACAAGGACAAAAAAAACTCAGTTTTTGATACATTTAGTATTTCATTTTTTTCATTTTTTTTTACTTTTTTTTAAAACATACTATATTTCTATATTTCAAATAAATTTAATCAAATATATATTTCAAAAAATTTTTATATTTCAAATAAATTTAATATTTGAAATTGATAGTTTGTTACTTTGAAATTTCTAAAACAAACAATATTTTCGAGAATGAATTTAACAATTTGGATTACTAAATAGAGGACGGTGCTGTGGGCCTCATTGGCTCAGGGGCAGAGCGTCTGTCTAGTAAACAGAAGGCCGCTGGTTCGATTCCAGCATGAGGCAGTTGGGTCGAAAACGTCGCTTTTGCCAGCGAAATAATTGAATGATATGTCATTTAGCAATGAAAGAGTGACTGAATCCCTCTTTTTCGTGGGAAAAAGTCAAAAATATTGTTAAAGCATTGAGATCAGAAATAAATTTGCTAAACAATAGAAAATTCCATAATTCACTTTTTAGTTTTTTTTTTTTTTTTTTTTTTTTTTTAAAGGGAAATTTAATTTCTTGATAAATTTATATGCATGAAATAATAGATTTAATAATTAATATTCATTAGAATCATCCAACAAATTTTTCTTAAATTTATAAAATCTTCAATAAATGTAACTTATTTCTTTCATCTTTAATATTAAAGTTAAATGATTCTGATACACATTGATTTCGTAAACAAACAAAAAAAAAGAAAGACAAATTGATCCATTAACTTCCAAAACAAAATGAAGTTAAGAAAGAAGTTAAATATTAGTAATGCAATATTTAATTCAAAAAAATATGGTTTTCTTCAGAAAATATGAAAATAGATTATATATACATGAAACATATATATCCAGAATTTTTCCCTTCTTTAAAGAAAATTAAACTCTATGACATTTCCCTTCCCTCTAGTCTAACAATATCCGAACTCATATGTTATTGCTAATCTGTTCAATTCTGATAAAGTTTGATAAATGATAAACTTAGATTATTTATTTAAAGGCATATCATCACCCACTTAGACATATCGAACTCACTTAGACATATCGAAGTTTGATAAATGATAAATTTAGATTATTTAAAGGCATCGAAATATGAGTTCAACAAAATAAGCACAAATCGCAAAACAATTTCCCTCTTTAACCAAAATCTCTTTTTGCCGCTTATTTCATTGAAGATAAAGTAGGCTTAAAAAATCTACTTGAAATCTAAGATCTCCTTCATCTAAGAATGAATCTAGCTGTAAAGAAAAGTCAAATAGATGTAATTACAAAAGACTTGTCGTCATGTACTTTTGTATAGTACGTCACGTACTACGTCACATACTATACAAAAGACCGCCAACTTCAGTAAACCTTATCCTAAATACTATGACCTTTTAAATTTAGTCAATTAAATCAAACTCACGCATTGCTAATTTACGTTAACAATTATACAACTATAACTTTTCAAGAATGAACATTAGAATTGTTATAACAGGTCCTCAACTCTATGTACTCACACGTAAATCGAAAATTTAGGTTGAAAGTTGGAAAGTTAAGGAGAGAAATAACCAGATCACTAATTTAAAATAACATATAGTATGACTAAAATTATTGTTACAGATCTGGCGTAAGACAAGTAGAACCAACAAGCAGTCATCGTACAGTTTTTCAACGTTAGCATTATAATGAACTCTAACGTGAACTATACAATGACAATTGCAGGTTCCGTGTGTAGACACGCGAATATCAACTTTATTGACTGCACGGAAAATGATCACGTCATTTTAAGTAAACTAATAAACAAAAAAAAAACAAAAAACAAAAAAAAGATATAAACTCATGTAAGCACACAACATCAATTGGATAATTTTGCTCAGCTTTTTATAACTCTATCCTAGTTGTTGAGTAAGTCGTATTTACTCTCTTCTCTTTTTTATACATCGATGAAAAAAACACTTCAATTTTTTTGCAGAGAATTTTGCATTTTAACTTTTCAGAAATAAAATTGCAAATCAAACTAGCTAAGAGAGTTTGTGTTTTTGATCTGATTTTTAATGAGATAACTGAAGCAAAAATGACAAGTGTTGCACTAATATTATATCATATAGCGAAACATGACAACATGAGAAATTGGAAATTATGTCTTGTCAAAGAAAAGAAAATTTTTCGACTTATTCCACTGAATTAAAATTTAACTTCGCTAACAATTCTCTCTTAATGTTATAAAAAGTTGTTAAAAAAAAAAAAAATTTCGAAAGGAACGGCAGAAAAAAGACAATGTAGCAGTAGTATTATATGAAATTGCACTTCCTAATTAATCTTATTACTTATAAAACAAACAGAATAACAACCTTTTCATAGCACTACTAGTTAATAAATAACTTAATTGATCAATAGATGAAATGAAAATAAGTTACAATAAAACGCAAATTTTACCTATATAATCAGAGAAATGTTTCATTTTCCCAAATCGTAGATATTTATATCACTGGCGGTCGTTTTTCAAATATTTATTTTCAAATATTTCCATTAAATCACTTTTCCTCTATTAACTACTAATGGTCTTCACCTTGAACTCCTTAGTAAATGTTCAAAGTAGCTCCACTAAGTAAATTTTAATGTTATACTCTATATACAAACTAAAAAATATTGTAATCAATGAATCAACATGATATAGCTACCTAAGAATAACCAGAGAAATGTTTCATTTTTCCAAATCGTAGATTTCTAGTCTATTATTTATAGAAATTTTTTTTAACAGCAGAAAATATTTGGAAATTTAAAAATTACAATATTACTTTTGTCATTTTCATACACTCCGATTCAATTTTTTGATTTAGCAGAATACTTTGATGAATACACTGTAAACCAGAAAGTAAATCGAATGGTGAAAGAAGTATTTCACTCTCAGTTATTACTTAGAATGTAACAAAAACATGTGCTTTGCTATGCTAACAGATGTATAAACAATTGACTTAACAGAAAAAACAAATCATGTCAAGTAAAATAGTTCCATCTCAGATAGGTAAATAAACAAAGTACTAGAAACAAAAAAAAAAAAAAAAAAAAACATATTAGATCATTCATAGTTGTTACAGAGTGAATGTTGGTGACAACTGTTAAAAATAAATGACATTTGACATTCCTAACAATTTTACTTCATTTTCTTTCCATTTGCAAGGGATATTTAAAATGAGTAAGATGACCTGAAAAAGTATTTACAATAACGGAAAATGGAAATGCTTTTTAGAAAGAAATAAACTGCAGTACTTTAATCTTTTTCCAAAAAAAAAGAAAATTGAAATTAGTTTCTTTTTTTTTTTATTGTAGGTAACAGAAGAGGAAAAAAAAATATGCAAAGGATAAACTAACAAACTAAATCAATCATTTATTTTTAATAATATATTTATTTACAAAAATTAACAGTTCCATGAAATGACATTTCCAGCATATAACAAACATCAAATTCTTAGCAGTAATTCATTGTTGAATAATATTGTCGAGCATATGTATGTATTTATCGATGTCCTTCCATTGTTACTTCATATCAGTGTTGATTTGTTGATTCATCCAAAGGATGTTAGCCATCTAAGCTGAGATAATTTTGTGACTGTAGTATAATTTCTGAAGTTTCTTACCTTTTGACAAATCTATCAATATTGAGTAATATTTTTTTCTTCTTCATAGGTTGTCTAACTTAATACCAAGGTCTGCATGAATTATTCTAACCCACAACTATTAAACAGAAAACAAAGAGAGAGAAAAAAGAGCGAATACGAAGAGATCAATGAGATCACTAAATAAGCCAATACTATCTAGAAAGATGTAATTGTGGGGCACAGAAGTTCTTTTCTTTTTTTTTTTGGATGTTATAACAAAGTTCAAATATTACTAAGGATTTTAGGAAAAATTTCTGTATGTTATAAAATTAGAAGAGAATTTTTGCTAAACATATTAAATGGTTGTATTTTACATCTAAGTAAATAGTGGATAAATAGAGGAGCATTTTAGAGGACAAAATTGTCCCCTATATTCATATCTCATTAAATATTCTACAAAATTTGTCAATTCAAACCAACAAATAATTACATAAAATATAATCATAGCCTGATTTATCATACAAACTATGATAATCTCTTGCTAAAATATTTCGCATAACAAAATATAGTCGAAATCATTTGTATTAAGTTATGCAAGTTATAAGGAAAATAAAATTAACAATGTGTTAAATGAAATGTAATCAGAAATTTGAGATTTATGACTAATACTGGAATAATAAATGAAGTTAAGGATTTGAAAATGTTTCATATTCTCTAAAATTAAATGAAATTGCAAATAAATCTTGTGATTATTGTAAATTCAACGCTTTCCAAGTTTCAAAAGATTAAACAATTAAAATTTGCTGATATTGAAAATACATCGACATTGCAGCTAATATTGCCAGTATTGAAATTATTGGTACTGAAGTTGTCAATGCTAGAGTAATACAGTAATGATCTTCCGATGATAAACCTTCTGAATAGCACTAACAACAATTCACTACTGCTTAATGCTTCAAAAAATTAGTCTAAAAATGAATCAATTTATATCTAAAATCATGTCAAATCGGAAATGCCAAGAAAAGTAAGAAATAGCAGATAAACCAAGAACATAGTAAAAATTTTCAGAAAATTTCAAAAGAATGAGAAGGTTGGATATCAACTGTTATTACCAATTAAAATTGATTATATCTGAGATCATATAAAGCCCAAAATCTTTCCAAATTGTTTCGAAGTAAAGAACAACAACAAATTGTTACTTACATTACTAAAACATTAATTATAATGAACAGCTATAACTGAAGCTTACAGAAGTATAATTTTGCAGATTTTTATATGCATGGAAACAATTATCATCAAATGTTTTTCTCTACGATTGGCAATTTCCTAACTCAGCGGCTCACATGGCTAAAAACAAATTTTACAAAGGAATACAGAAAGGAAAGAAAAAACGAAAAATAAAAACAAAGGAATAAGAAAATCTTGAACCAATCAGAAGAATTAACTTTATATATATATAATATCCATTCTCAATAAGTTTGCATGTTTAAATAGTGAATGTTTAAATCTGAAATTAGTAGAATTGATTTTTTGAAATTTGAAATTCCATTCAGTTGTAAAGCAGAAAATAAGAACTACAGAAAGTATTTCAGACACAACAAGCAGTCAAATTCCAGAGTGATAGCTTGTAGGAAACAGGACTTCTCTGTATCAGTATATTTTGATGGCATTTGTCGTCTGGAGTATTGCGCCGCATATCGAATATCGAATAGCACTGATGAAACAGAAAATGATCAAAACAGAAGAAGTGAAATTCTAATAATGATGCGATCAGGAAGGCTAAATAATGATCAGGAAGGTTAAATAGTGATCAGGAAGATTAAATAATGATCAGGAAGGTTAAATAATGATCAGGAAGGTTAAATAATGATCAGGAAGATTAAATAATGATCAGGAAGGTTAAATAATGATCAGGAAGGTTAAAAAATGATCAGGAAGATTAAATAATGATCAGGAAGATTAAATAATGATCAGGAAGGTTAAATAATGATCAGGAAGATTAAATAATGATCAGGAAGGTCAAATAATGATCAGGAAGATTAAATAATTGCGACTGAAACAGAGTGCAATTATCCTTTCATTTCACTAAAACTGCACGTACATTTAGAGCGTCTCTTTATATTAAAGCTCGAGGCGCAAACTGGATATTAGTTTCATCCCTTACAAGTCGAGCATACTTCCTCTCATGCGTATGTCAAGTACCGCCCTTCTTCCAACAGGCAAAAGGAGCGCACTTATTCTTTCATCTCACGAAAACTGCATGTACGATCGCATTAAGGCATTCATGCATAGTCTCAAGAAGTGTTCGAGCACGGCGAGGATTTGACTATTAGTGCTATTCGCGAACATTTTAATATTATCGTTTGAGATGCAAACTGGGTAATAGCTCCCTGTGAACAATTCACTTCCCTTCTAATGTGTTAAGTACCGCTCTTCTCTCAGTTCTATACCTTTTATATTGCAGTAAATTCTCATTCTGCTTTCTGCAAGCAAATGGCTGGGGCAAATGGGTTTCTTATAGCTTTCCATGTGTGTTTGATATTTACATGCTTCAATTGAGTTGTCGTATCTTCTCTGAAGCAGTGAAACTGTGGAATATTCTGAATTATGTTGCCTTCTTCAAAGGTATTTCCACCTATAGCTATAGTTCAGTGTGTGAAAACTTAAAATTTTGAAAAAGAGCTATTGCTGTTATTTTCATTGTTTACTTTGCATTTAATTTTTATTTATGAGTAATATCAATTAATTGCAATGGCTCTTTTTTTTTATTTAGTGATTGATTATGATATAAAGCAAGAGATACAAAAATCTTTTCTCACAGTAAATAAGCCAAGTTGAACTTATGTAAATGGAGTATAAATGATATAATGAAGTGAATGGGAAAAACAAAACTGACATACCTTGCCTTGGGTTTGTCAGCTTTCTGAGGCTTTGGCAATTCATAAATTTTTAAAAGCGTAAGTAAGAAATTTTGTTAGTCTTAATTAAAAAAGCAGTAAATAGATTACTGATAATAGTAATAATAATAATAATAATAATAATAATAATAATAATAATAATAATAATAATAATAATAATAATAATAATAATAATAATAATAATAGCAAGTAAATGAATGAATTGCTCGAATTTTTAAACATTATTATCAATTAAAGTATTTGGTAATATCAATATTAAGAAATTTTTTTTCTTTTGTATCCATACATGCTCAAAATTACAGGTGTATCTTCTGTTGCACAGCTCATTACCGTTTACATGCAAAATTGATTTGCTTGCTAAATTAACCATACTGTGGATAGAAGTTTTCTCTTCCAACAATTTTCTCTCTTACATATATTGTTTTCGTAAAAAATCAATGATGCTAAAACTGGCAATTAATTATCTTTCTGTTTTCCCCTACAATTATCTTCTGTTATTGTCTTATCATTGCTATGATCTATTATTGATTTTTTATATTAGAATAATGAAATAGTTGAATTAAATAAAGTGATTCTTTATACTAGAATATATAAAATGGTTGAATTGTTTACTAAATATATAAAAGGGTTGAATTGAAGATTTTAATGATCACTTTATTATAATAATGAAAAAGAAACAATTACAGTGATGAAAATTTTGACAATCATTTTATCATGATACTGAAAAAGAAGCAATTACAGTAATGAAAATTTCAATTCTCTGTTAAATCATTCTCTGTTAGAATCATTCTCTGTTAATTAGAAAATCGCAACTATAAACCATTAGTCTTTGAATTCTTAATGGTAGAAGAATTTTAACACTGACTAATTTTTTTTTTTTTAAATCTGTTGAACGGGAACTTGAAACAGTATGGCTTTATTGTAGTAATTCTAGCATTATCTTTTAATGTTTTTTTATTCTATCGTCCGAATTGTTTCGAATTACTCGAACACCATTAGTATTAGGCGTTCTTTTTCTATTTTCTGAAGATGTTAACAATAATTAGCTATTAGAAATTCTTAATAATCATAATTAAAAAAATAAAATAAATTTAAATTTTAATCATAATTAAAAAATAATAATTAATAGCTAATTCTTAATAATCATAAATTAATTAGCTAATTTTTTCATTGAGTGAACGATATGTGTCGCATTCGTCATAACTATGAGAAATTTTGGTGTGTTCTAGCATAACATAAGACGGTAGTTTACTTTATCACTTATATCTCTCCGTCAACTTTTTGCATTCAGTTAATATTATTCAATAAATACTGAAACGATTTGGATCAGTCCAACATCTAATGCCGGTTTACTCAGTGAAATTCTGGTGCCGGTTCAATCAGTGCAGTTTAATGATAGCTAAAAGGACGCGCACTGTTTTAACACTACGATTCTATTCCAATGTTAGTTAATATGATGAAGGTCAAATAGTTGTAAAGATGGTATATTTTCACTATTGTATTGTTTACTTTTTCTGTTTTACTTTTTTTTGTATTATCACGTGTTTATGCAGATATTTCACATATTTAGATAGGAATATATCCATCTCATCATTACCATAAAAAGTGACTAACCTAAAAAGTGACGGAGTATAAGGGTGACGAATGCTTGACAGAGATGTAACTAATGTGACTTTGCTGTTTTATGTTAAATTATATGACTTTGCTGTTTTATGTTAAATTAAAAGACAGTAATCGTTAAATCGTAAATATGACGCATGGCGAACGCAACGAGTTTCATTTGCTTAACGAACAAATGCGCTGTTTTGAATTAAACGATGATTTGCTAATTCAAATCAAGAAAAAAAAAGTTAATACTGAAAAATGCATTGCACGAATGACAAAAGTGTGAAGAATATGACTCTAATATGCACATAAGATCAAAGATACCAATAATAATTTACCAATAAAAAAAGGAATAAGTAACAAAGAATTTGACCAACAGAAAATATAAATTTCTTCTCTTCAAAGTGCGAAAGCTTTAATGTTTCTTCATGTGTAATTTCAAGCCTAGTTTACTCTGCAAGTCTTTACTGCAAATAGTGCAGTGGTAGACTGGTCTACTATTCATGCCATGAATTGCCGTGTGAATGTGCAAATCGCTCTTTCGTACGTAACTTTTCCCGCATACTGGACAACTGTGAGGCTTCTCACCGGTATGAGTCATCATATGCCTTTCCATATTACCGGGATCATTGAAATTCTTTTTGCATATCCGACAACTGTACGGCTTCTCACCGGTATGGGTAATCATATGCCTTTTCATATTCGAGAAATTATTGAAAAATTTTTTGCATGTCGGACAACCGTACGGCTTCTCTGCAGTATGAGTCATCATATGTGTTTTCATGTTTGTTACTTCCTTTCGACATATATCACAACGTTGCTTCTTTCTCCTCTCTTTTTGCTTTGATAGTTCGATCTCTTCCATCAGTGATTCGATTGGAACGAGTTGTTGCCGCGGTTTAATTCCTTCATCACTCACTCCATCCACTGATAAGCCTTGCGATTTACTCCCTCCCTTTTTCAGTTTTGGAGCTGATAAGTCCAGAATTTTTGTTTGAAGCACTTGTAAACCAATCCTTTCCTCATCCTCTCCGCCCATTGATAAGCCTTGTGATCCATGTCCGTCATCTCTCACTTTTGATATTGATAAATCCAACGGTTCTGTTTGGTCCGTTTGCGCTGCCTCAAATGATATGGAATTATACTGTGTAAAATTTTAAAATTTCAAGGTATTGCAGCGTTGTTGTATTTCTCAAACTTTAAGTGGACTTACAGTGGTTTGAATATTGATCAATTGGAAGAAGAAGCAGAAGTAATAGATGAAATGCATGCCAATGAGAATAATTTGTTGCCAATTCTGAAAAAACATTCAAATTTACTGGACGGTGCTCACAAGAAATATCACCGCTGTGTTGACTAATGCGCAAAGTAAAAATGTCTTAGAGTAAATACTTTTCTAAGTATAATGGATTATTTACAAATTAATCATTGAAACTTTCGAAAAAGACAACATCCTCTGTCGAAATAAATGAAATAGAACTTACTGAATGAAATTTGTTGAAGAGAATTTGACAGAGACCACACGATCACTTCTGTTAGGTATTATTCGAGAATTGTATGTATAAATGCTCATTCAAATGGGAGTGGCAAACTACGTATATTGATGAACTTATGTCCACGTATAATAATATAAGTAATAAGAGAATTTATATTAGTATAACAAAAACAGTCAGTGTTTAATCCTTTGCATTGAATTGTTTCATTTTAGTTGCTATATTACATTGTTGGAAATAATTTATGCAAAACAGTTGCAACGTTTTTTGCACAATTTTATTTCGTTTCGATTCAATTTTTATAAATTTTCAAATCTTTGCAATATTGGTTAGAAGGGAAAAACTACATAATTACATCGCCTGCAATTGTTATAGATGATTTACATACGCTAAATGACTTCATCTAATATTTCGTTTGAACGACGTCTGTAAATTTTCTGATGCTTTATTTTAAATTTCCTAAAAAAAATTTTAATTTTCAAAAAATCAAAAAATTTAAGCGAGGATATATGTATAGTTTAATAGGTTATATTAATATTAAATTTTGTTAATCGATCATTTGCTATAAATTGAAAAGCCTTTCGCAGCCGTAACAATAAAAAGGCATTCATAATATTCTCCTTGTCAGTTTGAAATGATCATTGTGATCTATTTTAGACAAACCTAAAAAGTGAAGAATAAAAGTATGACCGAACACTTGACAGAGATGTAACCGATAATGTGACTTTGCCGTTTTACGTTATATTAAAAGACAGTAATTTTTAAATGGATTTCTCGTAAATATGATGGCGAACGCAATGCGTTTCATCCGCTTAACGAACAAATGCGCTATCTTGAATTAAGTGATAATTTGCGTACAAATTGCTAATTTATATCAAAATTTTATAGTTAAATATGTCAGTGCATTAAACGGTCGAATATGAATTGGTTGTTCTTTATATTAATGCATTTGTTACAAAATATACTTAACTGCATACTATGGTAGTACAACTTTCCTTTTTTATATATATTTAATTTTTTTGGTATGGCTGTTTGTTTTAATTAATTTTGACAGAAATTTAGAAGCAAATAAAGAAATCACAATGTTTGAAATTTTTATATCAATTAGTCCTTAAAAAAATTCGATACATTGAGTTGTTATAGGTTGTTTTTTAATAAAATGTCAAGGTTGTTTGACACTTAAAATTCCAGCATGTAAAAAAGTAAATCATAGAAATTGGAATAAATAAAGTGATTAAATTAAAAAGATTAAATCAAATGAAATACATGCTGCGTTGTGATTTCTTTACAAATGCAATGAGTATCATCTCAATAAATATGCTGAAAAACTTTTACGACATTTGCTAACATAATTGATGGAAGTGAGAGTTAATTGCTTTAAGAATATTTCAATCGACACAAACAGCTGGATAGGTATTTTTACCATTATCCAAACTTCAAAAATATAAAAAAATTCTGAGTGTGTATCTAATCAAGAAATTAAAAAATGTCATGTAAAAATTTTAAATTAAATCAAATTCATAAATCTCTTCCTGATTTTCACCTGTAATACTTTATTGATTACAATTAGTCACTCACTGATATAAATTTGACGCATTGTTGTAGATCGCATAATTATATAACTTTATGAAATGATATGTAGTAATTAAGAAGATTCTTTTCCAAAAGTTTATTTCATATTATTCATGCAATAATTGAGAAAGAAATACATACGAACAATTTCATTTTATTAGTAATTTAACACCAACGACAATTATTTGCAACTCCTTCGTGCATAGCACGCAAGGTTACATGCAAATGAAATTCGCGGATGAATTTAATACTGAGAAATGCATTGCACGGGTAACAAAGATGACAAAAGAGTGAAGAATATGACTCTAATATGCACATAAGATCAAAGATACAAATAATAATTTATCAATAAAAAAAGGAATAAGTAACAAAGAATTTGACCAACAGAAAATATAAATTTCTTCTCTTCAAAGTGCGAAAGCTTTAATGTTTCTTCATGTGTAATTTCAAGCCTAGTTTTCTCTGAAAGTCTTTACTGCAAATAGTGCAGTGGTAGACTGGTCTACTATTCATGCCATGAATCGCCGTGTGAATGTGCAAATCGCTCTTTCGTACGTAACTTTTCCCGCATACTGGACAACTGTGAGGCTTCTCACCGGTATGAGTTATCATATGTCCTTTCACATGCGAAGAGCGACTGAAATTCTTTTTGCATATCGGACAACTGTACGGCTTCTCTCCAGTATGAGTCATCATATGCTTTTTCATATTCGAGAAATTATTGAAAAATTTTTTGCATGTCGGACAACTGTACGGCTTTTCACCGGTATGAGTCCTCATGTGTCCTTTCACATACGAAGAGCGACTGAAATCCTTTTTGCATATGAAACAACTAAACGGCTTCTCACCCGTATGAGTCATCATATGTTCTTTTATATTCACCACTTCCTTTTGACATATATAACAGCGTTGCTTCTTTTTCGTTCTTCTTTGCTGCTTCGAAAGTTCCATCACTTCCACCGGTGTTTCGACTCGAACGAGCTCTCGCCGCGGTGTAATTCGTTCATCACTCACTCCCTTCATTGATAAGGCTTGCGACTTATTCTCTTCCTTTTTCAATTTTGGAGCCGGTAAATCCAGTCTTTTTGTTTGAAGCATTTGTAATCCAATCTCATCTTCTATTCCCATTGATAAGCCTTGTGATCCATCCCCGTCATCTCTCACTTTTGATATATATAAATCCAATGGTTCTGTTTGGTCCGTTTGCGCTGCCTCAAATGATATGAAATTATACTGTGTAAAATTTTAAAATTTCAAGGTATTGCAGCGTTGTTGTATTTCTCAAACTTTAAGTGGACTTACAGTGGTTTGAATATTGATCAATTGGAAGAAGAAGCAGAAGAAATAGATGAAATGCATGTCAATGAGAATAATTTGTTGCCAATTCTGAAAAAACATTCAAATTTACTGGACGGTGCTCACCGCTGCTGTTTGACAAATGCGCAAAGTTTCTAAATATAATGGATTATTTACAAATTAATCATTGAGTTCCGAAATCTTTCTCATAACTCGAAACTTCCGAAAAAGATAACATCCTCTGTCGAAATAAATGAAATAATAAATAAAAACTTACTGAATGAAATTTGTTGAAGATTATTGGAGAATTGTATGTATAAATGCTCATTCAGATGGGAGTGGCAAACTACGTATATTGATGAACTTATGTCCACGTATAATAATATAAGTAATAAGAGAATTTATATTAGTATAACAAAAACAGTCAGTGTTTAATCCTTTGCATTGAATTGTTTCATTTTAGTTGCTATATTACATTGTTGGAAATAATTTATGCAAAACAGTTGCAACGTTTTTTGCACAATTTTATTTCGTTTCGATTCAATTTTTATAAATTTTCAAATCTTTGCAATATTGGTTAGAAGGGAAAATACATAATTACATTGCTTGCAATTGATATGGATAATTTGCGCATGCTAAACGACTTCATCTAATATTTCGTTTGAACGACGTCTGTAAATTTTCAGATTTGCTTTGTTTTAAATTTCAAATTTTTTAAAAAAAATTTTTATTTCCAAAAAATCGGAAAATTTGAGCGAAGTGAAACAAGATATATTTATAGTTTAATTGGTCATATTGATATTAAATTTTGTTAATCGGTTCTTTGCGATAAATTGAAAAACCTTTCGCAGCTGTAACAATACAAAAAAACATTCATAATATTTTCCTTGTCAGTCTGAAATCTCAGAAGACTGCTACGCAAGTAATTTAATAAAGCAGAAATTTTAAGATTGGCCATTTCTTTCTTAAATTTTTTTTTGGTCACATTCGTTCATATTTTTTTTCAGACAGGTTCAATGTTTCGTTCTACATTTTGTATTTATTAGATTTATATAGAAGGTTAGTTTGATTGAAATAGATTAAAATTATTGGCATTGATCAAAAGTTACATGAAATAATGGCTATGTAACTGCAATGAAGAAAATAAAAGAAATGAATGCGATGTACTGATATCAAATGATTGATTTCTGATCCCTTCTGCGGGTACTCATATATGAAATGAATGAAGTATTCTATTTAATTTCCTCGTAATTTATAATGATCTAGTGATCACTGAACTGATTAGCAATCATTGTTCATCACAACAGTCAAAGCCATCATGAAAAATCGGTCAAGAACAGAACATAATAACTGAAGCTGTTGAAAAAATAGTGGACAATTGGACAATTGACCACAGTATTATTTTTTTTGCAGTATTTTTTAATTTAGCAAGCAAATCAATTTTGCATGTAAACGGTAATGAGCTGTGCAACAGAAGATACACCTGTAATTTTGAGCATGTATGGATACAAAAGAAAAAAAATTTCTTAATATTGATATTACCAAATACTTTAATTGATAATAATGTTTAAAAATTCGAGCAATTCATTCATTTACTTGCTATTATTATTATTATTATTATTATTATTATTATTATTATTATTATTATTATTATTATTATTATTATTATTATTATTATTATTATTATTACTATTATCAGTAATCTATTTACTGCTTTTTTAATTAAGACTAACAAAATTTCTTACTTACGCTTTTAAAAATTTATGAATTGCCAAAGCCTCAGAAAGCTGACAAACCCAAGGCAAGGTATGTCAGTTTTGTTTTTCCCATTCACTTCATTATATCATTTATACTCCATTTACATAAGTTCAACTTGGCTTATTTACTGTGAGAAAAGATTTTTGTATCTCTTGCTTTATATCATAATCAATCACTAAATAAAAAAAAAGAGCCATTGCAATTAATTGATATTACTCATAAATAAAAATTAAATGCAAAGTAAACAATGAAAATAACAGCAATAGCTCTTTTTCAAAATTTTAAGTTTTCACACACTGAACTATAGCTATAGGTGGAAATACCTTTGAAGAAGGCAACATAATTCAGAATATTCCACAGTTTCACTGCTTCAGAGAAGATACGACAACTCAATTGAAGCATGTAAATATCAAACACACATGGAAAGCTATAAGAAACCCATTTGCCCCAGCCATTTGCTTGCAGAAAGCAGAATGAGAATTTACTGCAATATAAAAGGTATAGAACTGAGAGAAGAGCGGTACTTAACACATTAGAAGGGAAGTGAATTGTTCACAGGGAGCTATTACCCAGTTTGCATCTCAAACGATAATATTAAAATGTTCGCGAATAGCACTAATAGTCAAATCCTCGCCGTGCTCGAACACTTCTTGAGACTATGCATGAATGCCTTAATGCGATCGTACATGCAGTTTTCGTGAGATGAAAGAATAAGTGCGCTCCTTTTGCCTGTTGGAAGAAGGGCGGTACTTGACATACGCATGAGAGGAAGTATGCTCGACTTGTAAGGGATGAAACTAATATCCATTTTGCGCCTCGAGCTTTAATATAAAGAGACGCTCTAAATGTACGTGCAGTTTTAGTGAAATGAAAGGATAATTGCACTCTGTTTCAGTCGCAATTATTTAATCTTCCTGATCATTATTTAACCTTCCTGATCATTATTTAATCTTCCTGATCATTATTTAACCTTCCTGATCATTATTTAATCTTCCTGATCATTATTTAACCTTCCTGATCATTATTTAACCTTCCTGATCATTATTTAACCTTCCTGATCGCATCATTATTAGAATTTCACTTCTTCTGTTTTGATCATTTTCTGTTTCATCAGTGCTATTCGATATTCGATATGTGGCGCAATACTCCCAGATGACAAATGCCATCCATGCTTTTTCATATAAATCTTCAAATCCATTGTTCATTCGATAATTTTATTGATTGCAGTCACTTAACAACAGAAATTTCAGAGCTTATCTGCATATGTGATTTCAAGTCGGGTTTAATCCAAAAATCTTTATTGCATACAGTGAAGTGGTAGGCAGGTCTACTCATTTCATGATGGGAAGTTAGCTAATGCTGTCATTCATTGATGGATTTACTGTTGAGTTAGATTGTCAAATGTTTTGAGTGAATGGAATTTTGAATGCAAATAGAACAACTGAAACAAAATTCCAAATGTGAATCGACAAATGAAATGAATGAATTTCGTTGTTATATGACCTTATGATATTCATGTTATTTATGCAATAATCGAGTGAACAATTTCATTTCATTAGTAGTTTAACAACAGCGATATTAATTTGCAAATTCTTTATGCATAGTATTCAGTAGCATGCAAGAAGTTACTGGCTCGTTGTGTAGGCATCGCTAGGCAATTTATAACAAAACAAATAAAAAAGTGCGAAGAATATAACACATAACAGTGAGAGAGTGTTATTTTAAAAACAAATGACAGAAGAACTGACTGATGGAAAACATAAATAATCAATAACAACGGAAATAGCAATGCAATGTATTTCTTCAAATTTAAAGTAAAAAGTAAAGCGTAAGCTTCAGTGAATCCGCATATGCAATTTCAAGCTCTGTTTAATTCAAAAATCTTTACTGAATACAATGCATAGGTTTGTTTATGACATGAGTTACCATGTGAGACTGCAAACTGTGTTTTCGGGTGTAACTTTTTCCGCATTTCGAACAACTGTACGGCTTCTCACCGGTATGAGTCATCATATGGCTTTTCATGTTACCGGACACAATGAAACTTTTTCCGCATCTCGGACAACTGTACGGTTTTTCACCGGTATGAATCATCATATGTTTTTTCATACTTTGGGAGTGAGTGAAATTCTGTTTGCATATCGAACAACTGTACGGTTTTTCACCGGTATGAATCATCATATGTTTTTTCATACTTTGGGACTGACTGAAATTCTGTTTGCATATCGAACAACAGTACGGCTTTTCACCGGTATGAGTCATCATATGTTTCTTCATATTCGAGTAATCATTGAAAATTTTTTTGCATGTCGAACAACTGTACGGCTTTTCACCGGTATGAGTCATCATATGTCCTTTCACATGCGAAGAGCGACTAAATTTCTTTTTGCATATTGAACAACTGTACGGCTTCTCACCGGTATGAGTCATCATATGTTCTTTTATTTTTGCCACTTCCTTTCGACATATGTCACAACGCTGCTTTTTTATCGTCCTTTTTTCTTGCCTTGATAGCTCGATCACTTCCACCGGTGTTTCGATTGGAACGAATTGTCGCCGAAGTTTAATTCGTTCATCACTCACTCCCTCCACTGACAAGCCTTGCGACTTATTTCCTTCCTGTTTCACTTTTGGAACCGGTGAATTTAGGGGTTTTATTTGAAGCATTTGCAAACCAACCTCTCCTTCATCTTTTCTTTCCACTGATAAGCCTTGTGATCCATCCCCATCATCTCTCAATTTTGATATTGATAAATCCAACGGTTCTGTCTGATCCGTTTGCGCTGTCTCAAATCATATGAAATTAAATCACACTATGCAAGATTACAAGTCTTCAAGATATTGAACGATATGTTATATTTTGTTAACTTTAAGTGGACTTACGGTAGTTTGAACATTGCTCAATTGGAAGACGAAAAACAAATAGATGAAATGCATGTCCATGAAAATAATTTCTTGTAAATTCTGAAAAGCATTCAAATGCTCATTGATAAATGAGCAAAGGATTTCTCCAAGAAATGTTTTTTTTTTTTAATTATATTAGACTATTTGCAAATTTATCATCAATTCCGAAAATCTTCCTTATAATTCAAAAATTTGAAAAGAGGTTACATCCTCTTTCGAAATAAATAAAGCAAAACTTACTGAATGAAATTTGTAGAAGGAAGTCTGACAGAGATCAGCCGATCAATTCTGTTAATTATGGTTGGAGAATTGTATGTATAAATGCTTATTCAAATGGGAGTGGCAAACTACGTGTACTGATAATATAGAATATAAAATATTTGCGCATAATAATACGAAATAGCAATCATTGTTTAATCCTTTATAACAAATTATTTCATTTCAAATGCTACATTGCATTGTTGAAAATAATTTTATGCAAAGCAGTTGTGACATTTTTTGTAATTTTATTTCATTTCGCTTCGATTTTTTCATGCATCCAAGTCTTTTGGATTATTAACGAAAGGAGAAAATTACATTGCTGCATCTCTTATAATTGATAATATTGATTTATAAATGATAAATGATTTCACCAAATCTTTCGTTTGGATTTTAAATTTTCAAATTTTCTTTGTATCAATAATCATATCTAATATGATTTGCTGAAGTTAGCTGTCAAATGAGTACCAATTGATAATTCCTAATACTTATGAACCTTTTAAATGCCAATCATAATGAAACTGAAAAGGAAAAAAAGACGGTGGTAAAGTTCTATCAATTACTGCATTGTGTCTGATTAGCATCACTTGAAATGCTGAACCGGAAGTTATCAGTTCGCCATCCATGGTTATGTAGCCAATAGAGATGCCTAATGGCTCCAAGCAACAAGCTCGGACTGGAACTATCTGCAATTCCACACCGTTAAATTTAAGGGCAGGCTTCAATTTGTTCTTATAAACAAGAATCTAATTTGTACATGTTTGCATAAGTCCTCGTGGCTTTCTTTAATTGAATTTTAAACAGATTCAAATAACAGGCAAAAAAGAATAAGTCAAATGTGAACAGTAGTTTATTCCAAGTATCAGCCGTGATTTAACATTGTTCCAATCGATATATGTTAAATACAGGAAGTTATCATCCATCATCCAAACATGGAAGATAATCTTTCTTCGACATATAAGGAAAGTTTCTTTCATCCTCTTTCTTCGACATATAGGGAAAGTTTCTTTACAGATTCAAATAACGAACTATTCGCTATCAATGACTAAATAAGTTAATGACTTAAAATGATATTTCATTCCATCAACTAAACAGACGATTTCGCAAAAAAAGAATGAATTAATCCAACCATCACTTAATGCCTAATAAGCAAACATTTAAGGTACTTAAAATCTATTCCAAAAAAAAAAACAAAAAGACGATGAAAAAGCTCATTTCGGAATGGATGAAACTGGAGAGGTGAGGGAAAAACTTACTCAAATGAGAAAGGTTTGTCGGACAAACTTAAACGAAAGTTTGTCATTATTACTACATTTCTTGAACTGCTTATTCTACACTCATACAAGCTTTTCAATTTCTTGTTTGCTCCTGACATTAACAAACCTCTCAAAAAAAAATCTCACGTAGTTGTAACTGACTTTTCAAAGAAGAGATTAACAATGAAATTCCATTTGTTTGATAGATTTGGCATTGCTGGCATTTTAAATATTTTAACATTCCAACGTCTGCAAACCATACATGAAAATATAATTCGCTTCACTGCAGCCTTTCCTTTCGAAAGAAGCTTTTTTTTTTTTTTAGAGAAAGTATATGAAATGTGTTTTGGAATTTTTTGTACAAATTAACAATTTAATTGGTTTGATTTAAATCAGCAGAAATTTTGAAGTTACTATTTTTTGTTGTCGTCATTTCGCTGGCTTTAAATTTCTAGATGTGTGCAGATGGCATCTAACACTGAAAATATGTGAAAAATTGGAATTGAAAAATTGATGATAATTGCCAATTTCAATTTTGTAATTTATTCCTATTGGAAACATAAAGATTGTAATATTCTGTCATCCATTAGAGTAAGCAATAACATCGATCATAGCTTCCCGCAACCTTGTGCAAGTATAACCATTAGGCAACTTTAATGGTTACATAAGCATAGATGTCGAACCGATAACTTCCGGTTCAGCATTTCATGTGTACTAACAGATATGGTACAACATTTATCGGAAGGAACCAACGTTGCTGATCACTATCAGTAGTTTGGACTTTACCATCTTTTTTCTCTTTTCTACTTTTATTATGCCTGGAATTTGAAAAGTTGATGTCTATTAGAAATCATTAATTGGTATTCATTTGGCAGCTATTTTCATCACGTGGTGTTATACACAATGACTGTATTTACACACATAACACAAAGCAAAATTGAAAATTAAGTTTAAAAATGAAGTCAAAACAAAATATTTGATGAAACATTTAACATTATAAATCAATATCACCAATATTTTAATATGCTATTATCATATCATTAATTATAAGAAACGCAGCAATCTAGTTTCCCTCTCTCATTAACATTTCCAAAGATTGGAAAATATGGAGAAAATAGTGCGAAATGAAATAAAATTTTAAAAAATGCCACCAATGCTTTGCATAAATTATTTTCAACAGTATGATATAGCAGCTGGAAGAAAACTTATTTAGTGTAAAGGATTAAACAATGATTGCTATTCATATCATTATGTGTAATATTTCATATTCTACTATTATTATTATTATACCCTATATTGTTTGTTATACATGGACGTAAGAGTTTGCACCCCCATTTGAATAAGCATTTATAGATGCAATTATCTAGCAATACCTAAAAAAATGATCGGATGTGATCGGCCTCTGTTAAACTCTCTTTCACAATTTTCATTCATTTATTTCGGCAGAGGATGGTACCTCTTTTCAGAATTTTAACTTATGAGATTTTGGGGCTCGATGATAATAATTTAGAAAAGTATTTGCTTGAAGAAATTTTCCCTGTGTGTATTTGTCAAATTTGAATGTTTTCCAGATTTGGCAAGAAAATATTTTCAGTGACATGCATTTGATATATTTCTTTTTCGTCTTCCAAGTGAGCAAATATTCAAACTACCGTAAGTCCATTTAAAGTTAACAAAATGTAACATAATGTTGCAATACCTTGAGAAATAAAATTTTACACAGTGTAAACTTTTTTTGCACACTATGTGCAGTAAAATTTTTTTATGCACAATTTTTTTTTATATTTTGCATACTATTTGCAGTAAATATTTTCAGAGTAAACACGGCTTGAAAGCGCACATTTAAACAGAAGAAATGCGCTCTGCTCTTTCTGTTGTTGATCATTTATATTTTCTATTGATCGAATTCTTGTTGCTTACTGTTTTTTTATTGATAAGTTATTATTACTGACTCTTTAATTAAATTAGCTAAAATTAATTTCAACATTTAAAAAAAAATTGAAATCATTTCTAATTGCAAATTTATTTAATTTCTGCATTGAAAGTTTCCTTTAAAGTTAATATTTAAAACTTTTTTTTCGCATGAATGTCAAAAATCCCTGTCAAAATATAAGCAGATCAAGTGTAAGGCAAATAAAAGTAATCAATTAAGTTCAAAAAATATTTATTTTTAAATGAATTATATTTTTCAGCATTGGTAGAAGTTAATTGAAACAGAATTAAGAAAAATTAAAACTTTTTCAACATTTAATTTATAAAAACTTTAAAAAGCTGTCAAAATTTCTTAAATAACCCTATCCAACAATTCTTGCATCAGGATTTGACAGTTCCTTTGATGTACTTCTTGTAACATCCATAGTGCATTTGTTATGCTGTGTTTTTCAATAACCAAGTAGCATATTTCGCAAATAAAACTATTTTACCAAAATTTAGTTTGTTCTACAATTACAATTTACCATTTTTTTGAAGGTCAGCGTAATTCCAGTAAATAACTTGCAAATTAAACATAAAAATACTATGATAAACTTTTTTGCGAAGCATTAGAGAGGTTGAATGAGAAAAAAAAATTATAAGTATGGTCTTAATGAGTAAATAGATCAATCATTCTTATGAATTTCAGTAGGGTGCGAGGGCAGTTGTAGGAATGGACAGTACAATAGGGTAGGCTATTGTAGGGTTAGGGTTCAATTTTATAGCTCTGTCACTTTTAGTAGTAGGTAGAATTGTGGGTTCCAGCTTTGCTAGCGCTTGTAGCTATAGGATTGCTGCTATCGCAATGACATTAACGAAAAAAAGGGAAGGAAAGACTTAAATAATAGCAGCAGCAGCAGCAGTACTGATGATCTCAATGTCATCAGCAAGTGTTGCTATGAGTTTGTCTTGCTGCAACCGCAAATGCTGCTATTCTTCTTGGTGTATTTGCAACTTGGTGGGAAATAGCAACGGTAGATTATTACTCAAAAGCAATGCTTGAAAAGAATCAAAAGTGGAGAGAGATATGAAGAATTATTTGCCTTCTCAAAGAGTTCAAAAGCCTATATAAAAGGCACGCATATGACATTTGCAGATATTTTCAATCCGCAGTAAATTGCAGATCTAATCAGTTACTTGAGTGTCAAGTAAACGATAGTCAGGTTGCTATACCAAAATAACATGGATTACAGCATTACTTTGCTTGATGAAAACAGTAAGCACATAGCACATTGCGAGCTACAAAGGAAAAAAAAAGCTTCCATAGTCTTTTTCGGTGGATTTTCATTCAATATGAACGGAATTAGAACAGCTGCTATTTAAAAATTTTGTCAAGAAACTCATATAGCATTTGTGTTATTTGATGGTTATTGGTTATTCAGGTGCTGATTATACTGATTACACGATGAGTGATTGGCAAAAAAATTGTGTTAGAGTAACTCGTAACGGCAAGCAAATAATTATAGGTTCAAGCATGAGACGGTGCCTGATGTTGCTCACTGCTCTCCAACTTTCAGAAAGAATTGCAGCACTAATTGGTGTATCGTCTGCTTCTGACTTTACTGAAGATTTAATATTCTATCAGTTATCCGAAAGCAAAAAGAAGAATTAGATTCTAAAGGAGTAATAGATTTTACTTCTGAGCATTAAATATACAAAATAACTAAAAGCTTGGTATAGAAGATGAAGATGGCAAAAAAAGCTTCTTTTAAATAAACAGACAATAGATATATAAACTGCCCTGTGCGTTTATTGACGATAATGCTATATTCCTTACCAACTTCGTTAAATTTAGTCAAGAAGTTGAGGTGCATCTGATGAAGACAGTAGGTTGAGAACATAACAATCGGTTCATTGGAATTTTTACTTCGGATGATTTGCAAGGCAACATTTTATTTGGGAGAGCGACCAGAACCGAACTAGGCACACATACCCACTTAGATGGTTTGGGGAGTTTTTGCTGGCTGATTAAAGACTCATAATAATGCAGAGGAGATTTTAAGTGAGGGCAGCGAGCAGAGCCGAGCTAGCCGCACTCAATGCCACAAGCTGATGCCCTACCAACTGAGCCACACCCACTCGGATTATTCAGGGAGCCTTTGCTGGCTGTGTAATTGCACACTAATTTAGTACTCATCATAAGGCAGGGGACGATCTTCCTGAAGAGAGTGAGCAGAGCCGAACTAGCCGCACTCAGTACCACAAGCTGATGCTCTACCGACTGAGCCACACCGACCAAAGCAAGGTGTCTCTCATACATGAGTACAAAAAGAAAGCAGCAAAAAAAGTCAATGGATTATTTAAGCAATTGACTATTGACTCCTTTACTTCAGACTATGTTGTTCCCCTGATAAAACAGTTGCAGAAGCAATTTCATTATTGAAAAATCTTTTGGTATTCCTGTGGTTGATCAATGCAAGTTAGTCGGAGTTTTAACTAACAGAGATATAAGGTTTATTGATGGTTAAAAAAATCAGAAAAAAGTATAAATGTCCCCGAGGTAATGACAAAAGAGAAGTTAGTTACAATATGGGAGCGCTTCAGCAATGAAACTATTGCATGAAAATAGAATAGAGAAGCTTTTGGTCATAGATGAAAACTCCTACTCTATAGATTTGATCACAGTTAAAGACATTAAGAAATACAATAGTTCTAATTCATGTAATGATACTTAAGGGCGGCTCAGAGTTGCCGCTGTAGTTGGTACTGGTAAAAAGGATGGTATAGAAAGATGTGAAACTATGGTCAGAGAAGAGATTGACGTAATTAATGTGAATACTGCTAACGGTCATTCCGGAAACATTATTAATACTATTAAAGAAATAAAAACGATGTATTCAAACATGCAGCTAATTGGTGGAAACATTGCAACAAAGGAAGTCACTGAATCATTGATTGATGCAAGTGTTGATGCAATGAAGATTAGAATAGGACCTAGATCAATTTGCACAACCAGTCACAGGTGTAGGTGTGCCACAATTTTCTACAATTCAAAGTGTTGCAAAACATGTAAAGCAAGAAAAATAAATTGATTGCTGATGATGGTGTAAAATACTCAGGAGACATTGCAAAAGCTATTGCAGCTGGTGCTGATTCTGTGATGATCGATTCAATTTTTACTGGTAGTGCTGAAAGTCCAGGTGAGATTATGATGTATAAGGGTTGAGCATATAAAGATTATCGAGAGGAATGGGGTCTATAGTGCAATGAAACAAGGTTCTGCTAGCCGCTATTTCAAGATAAAGACTCAAAACTCAAATTAGTTCTACAAGGAGTGAAAGGAAAATGTGCCATTTAAAGTTCCAGCTTCAAGAGTAATCCATCAATTAATTGGCGGGTTGCAAGATGCAATGGGGTATACCGGTAACAGAAATATAGAAGAGATGAAGAAAAAGTACAGGTTTATGATTATAACTGCATCAGGATTAAGAGAGAGACATGCCATGATATAATGATCATGCAGGAAGTTCCAAATTATGCTTATCAAGTGTTTAATATGTCAGTTAATACAGACATCTAATTGTTAGTTGTCAACTAGTACGATAAAAGTAAACAGGGTAAAACAGGAGTTTTTGTACTAGTGTAAAAACCCTTATTATGATTAATGCATTATTTCTTAGTTTATGAAGTTGTAATGCGTGTTTGTTGTAATGTATGTAGTTTATATTATATCTGTGCTTACTGTACAACCTGCCACATCTATCACATCATTACCAATTACTCCAACACTATCTTCTATAGGTTAATCATGACCATTGAAGATATTCGGTACAGAAGCTATCTCTTCTGCTTCATTAGAAGAGCATTTTGCACGAGCTAAAATAGCTTTTGCAAAGTCAAGTGATTTCACTTCTTCGATTGCAACTGAGTCTACAAATTCGGGCAATTCTTTTAAACATTTGTCCTTTATGTAAATTTTGTTATGAAGTAAACCTTAGATTTTAATAATAGGCAATCATGCTAATGTGCTAATATTAGCTTTATATTAATAAAAACCTAAAATTATTTAAAAAAAAAAAAAAAAAATTCTAATGAAATCACGACACAAATTAATATACAAGCAAATACAGATCCAAGCATTGCAGCGTTAAGGTTACACATTGCATAACTAATTTGGAGTAGATGGAAAAACTACCAGATTATAAGATCATTAACATAACACATTATAAAATGAGTATATTAACTATATATATGCTATAAAACAGCAGTCAGCATAGCGAAATTTATATTTGACCCCATTATTAATAAGATCTTTATTATTATATGAGATAGGTGGACTAGCATTTATAAATTTATATTGTGTTACGTATAGCTCAGGTCACGTGCTGGAATGATACCAATATGTAACCTCAATGGTATAATACTTGGATCTATACTTCCTTGTATATTAATTTGCACTGTGATTTTATTAGAATTTTCTGCTGTCTATGTTAACGAAAATTTTGAGATACAAAAAGCCTTTAATAGCGTTGCTAAGTATATAAAAGCCGACAAAAAATGTAAAGGCTTTGACGTTATTGAAACAAAGAGTGACAAATTCAATACTAAAATTTTACAGAGCTTTAGTATGCACTCTATCTTAGAAAAGGTAAAGGATTCCTTTAGACGAAAGTTAGTGAGACAGCCATTTCTCTTTTTAATCAAGTCGCTGCAAGATTGCTTATCATAAAAATGCCTTAAATGGGCTAGGAGATAATTATTATACTAACAAAGAATATAAAAGAGCTTAGGTCTAAAACTAATAAAACTTTTAAAAGAATATTCTGGTAACTCTTATATATTAGAAAACTTTCCAACGAAAAATTCATAGTACAATCCTAATCTGGTGTTAAGTGGAATATTGAAATTGCATGATGTATAAAAAAAATATGCTCCTTTATTTTTTAGCAAAGTTAGGTCTGATCTATATGAAAAAGGAAAACTATAAAAGTGCCAAGGAATATATGGTAACTGTAATTTCCCATGATCAAAATGATATTTCTTATAACTATAATCTATCTCTTGTTCTAGATAAATTATCAGATTTCAAAACTGCTGCAACATTCTACCTAAACTTATTGCACATGGCTGCAAATTTGAAGAATGTGAGTAAAAAAAATACCCATATGCAAGATGGAAGCAAGACTAAAATTTATAAAACTTAACAGTACACACTAGACGATTTTATAAAAGTCAACCACTGTAAGATAACATATTTCTAAGAATATGGGCAGTGAGACATAACCAGTGGGAATCAAAAGCAAACTATTAATTCAAGCTACCAAATACAACATTAAAGAAATTTTAAAAGATACTCTAGGCCTCTTCAATGCATTAGAATAAACTCTTTTAATCTGCTAAGAGAAAGGAATCCATTAATAATAAAAAGGATATCAGCACTTAAACGATGCACTTGCGTTGTTATAGAAAAACATAATAGAATTACTTGTCAGTGCAGGTGTTGTTGATGTTAACACATTAGACAAAGATAACAAGAATGCTATAATGCACACTATGAAAAACACTAGCTGTCTTAAAGTTTATAGTTGGACCTATCAAAGAACTTATCAAAGGGAATAATCTCTCATCCTATAGTACAATTTTTGTTGGTAAGAAACTCTGAATATTGCAATACTGACAGTATGAATATTGAAAGAAAGCATGCCCCAATGATAAAGGAGAGTGCAAGGCATTCTTTGCAATTGAATCACACTTATGAAGAAATGCCTTCACAGAATGCTGAAACACAATTTGCAGAAAAGAGATGGTTTTCGAGATAATGTTACTCTAGCATAAAAGAGTTTAGAGAAAGTTGATCGATTTATCTGTCACATGTATATGTCCCGGTGAATCTGGATGCAAAAAAAAAGAAATTAAAAGGAACAAAATGGTGAACATTTTTATGAGGAATTCTATCATTATAGAAGAGATAGTAGTTCACTTGACAGTGATTATTCTAGCACAGAAAAATACAAAAACACAGGATGATTCAATTAATTTGTCATAACAATATGCTGAAACAGGTTTTGCTGGAGAATAAGAAACAAAAGAACGAAATAGTAGGCGCATTTACATTGAAATTTCTAATATTAGGAAATGTAAAAATCCGCTCTACACCAGCACAGAATAGTGTAAAGCACAGAAAAAGTTATAAAATAAGATCACAAAGACAGGCAATATTTATAAACGATAATTCTGGAATTTACCATGGGCTAGTGCAAGATAGAAAAAGCCAGTGGGAGAAAAAATAAACGAATATAAATGCTTGGAAGCTAACATAGTGATAAATAAAAAAGAAGATTAAAGACTAATACTATTTTTACAATTTTTCAATTGTTTTTTTACAATACAATTTTTTTCAATTGTTGGACCAATATAGAAAGAACAAGGCACAAATGTGAAACAGACTGTAATTTTAGACATTCTGATATAGAAATGAAATGATTAAGAAAGAACTCTAAAACTCCAAACCTTAAAATAAGCTCAGTTCACGTTGAATATAGTATAGTAGAAGGTTGTAGATATAAAATTACCGATATATCACATTAATTGAATGAATCATGGAGAAATAGAAGTATGCGCTAAACAAAATTTTGTATTTATGTAAGTTTATAGACCTTATTGTAACAATAGAAAACAAGCTAACAAATGAAGAACTCTAAATAAAATATCATCTTTGAAATAATCCTACATTTGAATTAATCACAAAAAGCATGACTCCTTCAAAACCTTGTCTAGTTAATGATTTTCTGTAGAAAATCTTTTGCTTAACCTATTCTTTCGTAATCAGAATAAAAAGAATTAACTCATTTAGACAAATGCAAGAAAATAGGTAAAAATCTCAATTCTCGTAAGCATTTATTTACAAAATCACGATCAATAAAGGAGCACTTATGCAAAAACATTTCTAGCACTTTTAAATTCAACATTATTGGTGAATGAATTGTTTAAATGCAAAATTACAAACAAAGAATTCGAGCAGACAATCAGTTCTTTAGTTAATAAGACTATTAATATAGTCAGTCACTCATATTATAAGCAACATAGATTGCATCCCTGCCAAATGTGTACCACCATCCCATTGTCTTATATTATTTATAAAGCATAACAGGAGTCATTCCACTTCATTTATATTTCTATGCTGATACCAAGATCTTTTGCATTACCCTTCATGCTAGTAAGTTTGATAACATACGTTTTATTCTTGTCTAAGTACCACATAAATTTGCTGTGCCAAAATTATCTTTAGATTGCTTACTGTCGTTAAAGTAAGTAAGATTCTATATACGGTTTGTCACGCAAAGTGATATTTGCATTTAAAAAAACTAATTCTCTGATGCGATTTTCGAATTATACAATTTGTAAGAATTTTTATACATTGACTAGGAAATAAATTGAGTTTTATCAAATTGTAAAAACTATTAAAAAATATCAATTCATCAAAAAAAAAAAAAATAGATAAATAGAACTTAGTTAATTATTTTATATGCATTGTACGGGAACTGCTCATATAAAGTATGCCCATTTGACAGCTTGAATAATAAAATAAACTTTACGCTTAGGCTTTGGGTTAAACTCGGGCTTAAGTTTTATTTCAAATTTTAAAATTGATTTTTGTGAAAATCCTATAGTTTTTAAGAGTTTTTGCATATTAGGCTAAAAATTAAATTGGTATTATCAAATTTCATTTTAATTAAATGCTAAAACTATTAAAAATATCAATTCATTAAAAAAAAATAGATATTTTGAACTTAATTGATTAATTTATATGCATTGCGTGGGTGCTGGTCATATACGGTGTGGTCATTTGATTAGCATAAATAATAAAATAAACTTAAATAATTAAGATTTAAAAAATATTTGAGTGGCGAAATTAATAAAATCTTTAATTAGTCACGGTTTTAATTCATTTTTACGATTAAAATTATTTTTTATTTCAAATTTAAATATTGATTTTTATGAAAATCTTATAATTTGTATCCCAGTATTATCAAATTTCATTTTAATTAAGTGTTAAAGCAATTAAAAAATAGCATTTCATAAAAAAAAAAGAATGGAAAACTAGAACTTAGTTGAATATTTTACATACATAATGCGGGAACTGGTCACATACATTGTGGTCATTTGACATCATTAAATAATAAAATAAACTTTAATAATTATGTTTCGAATAATATTTCAGTAGTAAAATTAATTAAATTGTTAATTTTTCGCGGTTTTAATTCATTCTTGCGATTAAAATTACTTTTTATTTCAAATTTAAATATTGATTTTTATGAAAATCCCACAATTTGTATGAGTTTTTGCATATTAAACTACGAAATAAATCTTAGTTCTATCAAATTTTATTTTAACTAAGGGTTAAATTTTTAATGAATAGTAATTCATTAAAAAAAAATATTAATTTTCAACTTAATTAATTATTTTATATGCATTGTACGGAAACTGGCCAAGTACAGTGTGGTTATTTGATAGCATGAGTAATAAAATAAACTTCATGCTTAGGCTTAGGCTTAAGGCGAACTTAGGCTTAGGCTTAAGCTTTATTTCAATTTTAAAAATTGATTTTTGTGGAAATCCTATAATTTTTAACAATTTTTGTATATTGGACTACGAAATAATTTCTAGTATTATCAAATTTTATTTTAATTAAGTGTTAAAACTTTTAAGGAATGTCAATTCATTAAAAAAAATTGAAAAATAGAACTGAGTTGATTATTTCATATGTATAGTGTGGGAACTGCTCATATACATTGTGGTCGTTTGACATCGTTAAATAAATAATAAACTTTAATAATAAAGTTTTGAATAAAATTTCAGTAGCGAAATTAATTAAATCTTTAATTTGTCACGGTTTTAATTAATTCTTACAATTAGAATTAATTTTCATTTCAAATTTAGATGTTGATATTTATGAAAATCTTACAAATCGTTAGAAATTTAAAAAATTTGTTTTGGAGTGATAATTCAGTGCAAAAATTAACATATTTTTGACGTCGAGATTAATTTTAATTATAAATCTAGTTTCGGATCTTTAAGAAATTTAGACGATTTCTCCGAATTTTTGTAAATTTATAATTAAATAAATTTTAATTTTGTTAACTTACGTTTTAATTAGGTGCCAAAAATGTTAGGGAAGATGTGATTCATTTATAAAATTAAAAATATTGAACTTTTATTTTATTGACATTACTCTCGCTGAACCAAGTGAAAGAAGAGATCCATTGCCTAATATTAGAATCACGGTAACACATTTTGTTTATTTTCTTTGATTGAATATAATTTGAAATTTAGCAAATTAAAAGATAAAAAAATGATATCATGAATTGGTAGCCTTCGTTAGTTCTTTTCTCTCTTTCATTTTTTAACAGTAAATCAAAATTTTTGATATGTTCAATTAGTAAATGCACTGTAATTACACTATCATAAAAGATATAATTAATGATGAAAAATTCATAGGTTTTAGCAAAATTTTCCCATAATTCCTTATCAAATTAAAATCAAACTCAATTCATTCAACTTTTTTTTCTTCCTGATAATCGTTATCGTTTACTTATTACTCCTAATCATGAAATTATATATATATATATAGTTTGTACTTCCCTTTTTAATAATATCTTAACGATGATAGGATTACATTTGATTACTTTAGATTCATTTTCCGAGATCAAAAAAAATTCGAGACATATTTTGATCACGTAACTTGCATTAAAACAGTCTTGTTTTGTACAGAAAGTTACTGAATTGCTGACAATATTGATTGGGAATATCACTCAGACAAAATTATGTTTTGAAAATTGCAAGACGAATATTTCAATAATTTATCAATAGAATCTGATCATAAAGAAAAGAAAGCATGGAGAAAAAAAAAGAAACACTGGGCATGCACTATTATATCATCAGAAAAAGAAAGTAAAGTAAAAGTAAAGTTCTATCAGTTTGGAAGGCTTTTATATCACCACTATATGTAACAATATAAATAGTTTTCTCATAATTTCAATTGTAACTGAAATTAAATTCTGGTAATTATTTATCAGTTAGTGGTAAAAATTTTAGATAGACAATTAAACAACACTGGCTTATCAGCTTATCATTTTTTTTCGCAAAAATTACCCAAAAATTGCGGGAAAAATATTAAAACAAAACAAAACAAAAAAAAAAAAAAAAAAAGAAACTAAAACATTATTATGAAATGGAAATGATCAATGCATAAAATATACAGAAATGAATAGTTATTGAAAGAAAAAGAAAAAAAAAAAAGAATCACAGGATTATTTTTTTTTCTTTTTGTTTTGTTCATCTCATTTCAATTAATCATTGCCATCATCTGTTATTCATGATCAAATTTTTGAAGCCTTCGTTGTCGAATTTCATCCAATTCAGTCGTTGATGCAGAACAAACTGATGTTGTGTTATCATTAGCTGTTGTTGGTTGATCTTTACCTGATTTAATTTTAATATTACTCGAACTAGCTACTGGCACATCAGATGATAATCCATGAGCGGAATTTTCGTCAATAGTCGAAGATTTTGCTGCAGTCTTAGGTAATGTTGTTGTTTCTGTTGCCGTTGCTGTTGTTTCTGCTGCTGTTGTTGCTGCATCCACATTTGTTGTTGTTGCAGTTGTATAAGCCGGAATGCTACAAAAACAAATGAAAATTTTTCTTTAAATAAAATAAAGTAAAAATTAGCAAAATGTTGCCAAAAATTTTTGACAATCATTTTGAATACAGATAGATTATATTAGACAAATAACTGATATACTGTGTATTCATATATAGTTAATCATTTTAACAATTGCAAAATTTTTAAATAATTAATTTCTCATTTTGCAAATTTCACTATCTTCTATCGAGTTATTATACATTCTTATAATATGTTTAATTAATTTTTATACATTTTTTTTTTTTTTTTTTTTCAATATTTAATTTTACCTCAATGACTGTACAATACTCATATATTGTTGTAGTTGCATGGTAGCTGCATCCAACAATAAACTAATATTACGAATACAATTGATACGTGCTTCAACAGCAGCTCGTTCTGTTCCTTCCATTGCAGCAACTTCTTCGTCTGTTAAACCGGCAAAACTAGGAACCGGTGGAAATGGAAATACCGGAGGTACCATAAATGGTGGTATTGCCTAGAATGGATCCAAAGAATGGAGAATATATTTGAAATAGAATTATTTATAAATGAATAAATAAACTATAGTACAATTTGAAAAAAATTTTTTTCCTTTGTTCAGATGATAATTTCGTCGTGTTTTGTTATGACTGAAACTGAAAACTTTATAAGTGCAAGTTATTTTCATTCACATTCAGTTAAAGTAAGATAAGTTTAATTTTTAACGGTTTCAAAAATTTGTATAAAATTTCTCAGCAAATAATGCAGATAAGATAAATAGGAAAGAGAAAATACTGAATGAAATGCTCTTTGGTAAAAGAAATGGATAAAGACTAAAAAAAAGAAATAAATAGTAAAGATTTGAAGACACTGGAAGATCGACGTGTATACAAGTCAAACAGCCATCACTAGAAAAAAAATGAAATTTACAAAAATTAAATCAGGTGAAATCGAAAAATTCAATTGATTGAGCATGCAATAAAATAATTCTAAGTAAAAAAAAAGATGATGACCGGTGATTTGTCTTATTTATTCTTTAAAATGTGATGCTTTAACTTAACTACAACTTAATTATGTTACAACATACAAAACAGTTCTGGTTCGTCTTACTATCGTAATCTAATAAATTGCTTTGCTAGTAAAACTTACTACTATTGATTAACTCAACCATTAATAGATCTTGGAAAAATACTCATAGTATCAATTAGCAGAAGTAAAAAAAAAAGTATATATATATATATTGAAATCAAGCAAATTTAAAAAAATTATTTGTACAGTTATCCATTAGCTTTATCTAGATAATTCAAACACATTAATTAATAGAAATTTATCAAAACACTAATTATTAACAAAAATAATTATTAAAAAAAAAAAAAAAAAATAGTAATTATTAAGTATCAAAACATTAACCATAAATGGAAATCCTGGTGGTGTAGCTGGAAATTGAGGCATATTGGAACCGATACCAGAAGGTGGCATCTGCGGTACGCTACTACCATCATCATTCCGTTGACCAATCGTACTTGTTCCGGCTTGCGGTTGCTGTTGTTGTTGCTGTTGTGGATGCTGTGGAAAAGCGAATTGAGCCATGAACGGAAACATATTTGGAATTTCACCACCATTATTTGCAGGTTGAATTCCTCCATTTGGTCGTGCTTGAGCAGGTCCAGCTGCAGGTACAGCTGCTCCTTCAGCTGCAGGTGTTGTTGGTGTTGTCCTCCGTTGTGCTATAACTTATTAATTTATTAATTATAATTACAAATCAATAAGTTGTTCAATTATTAAAAAAACATAACTTTAAAAACTTTAAACTTGAAGTCTGAAGAGTTTTCTAGAATTTTCTTTTCAACAAAGAACAGATATATGGATATGGATGTTAAACCGAGCTAAATAACAAATGCAAACCTAAAATATCAGTACGACAAGTTGGACAACTCTGCTGTCGTTGAAACCATGAACGAAGACAGTTTGCATGAAAAATATGATTACATGGTAGTTTCTTGGCTCCACTAACTGGTGTCATCTCTTCACGGCAAATTATACATGTATTATCTCCTAAATAAGAATTCAAAAATATATGTATAAAGACATTAAAATTCAAAAAATAAAAAACTGAGTAGAAAAAGAAACAAAACATTACACTGATCAAAATATTTATTAGAAAAAAAAAAATGTCACTTGAGAATTAATTTTATTTTAGGCAGCACATTTTTATTATGAACTTACTTTCTAAAACATTATCATTTCAAATAGCAATTAATTTCATGTAAACCAAAAATTAAAATGATTATTAAAATGGATACCTTGCAATAGATCTTGTTCGGTAGCTAGTGGAAATAGATTATTCATAGCATGGATCGCACGTCTTGAAAGTATCACATCATTAATTGCCTTATGGAATGCTCGAATTGTAAGATAAAGTGGACGTATGGAAAACAATGGAAAAGTATGCAAACGTATCATTACGGCCACAAAAATAATATATAAAATGCAACGTAGGCAATCTAAAAATTATTCATTTTTTTTTTGAAAAATAAAATCTTTTTTCCTTAAATCTTTAAATTTAGTGGTAAAAAAAAAGAAATCAGGTATGAAAATGATAAGATTATAACAAAGATAAATAAGCAAAATGTAATAGTAAGAAATTTTATGAATAATGAATTTCTTTCATATATAGTAATATATGCAATAAATTATGCTCCCGTAATATTTATCCATTTTGCTTAATTGAAAATCAATTTTTCATCGAAATAGATTATTCGCTTAGAAATAATATGAAGCAAAAACAAATCTAATTTAAAGAAAAAAAAATTTATAATAAAATCCATCATCCAAAAAAGAAAAAAAAAGACAAAACAAACACACTGATAAGAAGTTCCGAGTAAAGCAAATAAACTGCTTTATTTTCCCATGGATGTACATTTCGTAAATCATGCATATGCAAAATATATTTAATAGTTACATGTAGAACAACTGTCATTAATACCGCATACTACAAAAAAGAAAAAATTGACAATAATAGTTGAAATTTGAATAATTATAGGTAAAGCATGATAACTATAGTTGAATGATGCTAAAAAAATTTTTACTATAAACAAAAGGGCATATTTTTATTATTATGCTCAATACATTGTATATTGTCTCTTTCCAATGATAATTTTCTGATGATAATTTGACAAATTTACTCATAATCACTTACCTCAAATCCAAATACAATTTGAACAGATGCGCCACGAACAAGTGTTGTGAAATATGCATGTGATATAAAATAACTATCCAGAGCACTCAAAAAGGCAAGTAATGCTGAAAAATCAGGAAAAAAATCATTCATTATTTGTAAATTATTTATATATTTTATCACAAAATCTAATCTTATGATATTTTAAAGTAATAAAAATTGCATAATCATTTATTATGTAAGCTTAATTTGAAATTTAATTATTTAATACTTGTTTAAGGAGAAGAAAAAAACCCGAATTATTAATTCAATGAAATATAAAAAATTTGAAGTAATAAACTGAATTTGAAAAGCCTGATAAAATGTTCATGCAATGAAAGAGAATCGGATACTAATCCAAGTGGAAAAACTTAAATTAATTTAATAAATTGCAAAAAATTAAAAAAAGAAAGAAAAAACAACAACATAAAAGATTGAAAACATACATATCATCCTGCAATGAAACAATACAGTTATAATTGGACTTCGTTCCATAAAATCAACCCGATCTTCGCTAAGCCAATGGAATAATTTAATAAAAAGCAGAAAAACAAATTGCATTACAAAACGAGGCGAAAAGTCATCACGAAATACGGTAAATGCTAAACATGTCTCCATGATTGCATGCCATGTTCTCTCCGATAAATGCTAGAAATATGTAATTTTAACTTGCCATGTGTATTTCAGGTAAACATTAGCACTTACTAAATATTTCAAATTGAAGCATTCCAAATCAATATTCAATTATCAAGTCTAATGCATAATCTTATAATCTTAATTTAATTAAAAGCACACTGATAATGAATAATAAATTCTTCAGAATAAATTCAGCAGTCTAAAAGAAAAAAGTCAAAAGATACGATTGAAAAAACAAAAAATGTGTTGTACTAAATGTTCAAAGAATTTTAGTAAATTCATACCTTTTCTTTTCTTCAAGAAAAAAAAAAAAAAAAAAACTTTAGTTTTATTTGTAAATTGAAAGAAATTTGCTAACATAAAATATTCTAATTTAAAATGAAATTTAGATAAAAAAATAATTTTCAACATATATACCTCATATTCAGCAGCACGTAATTCACCAAAAAATAATTTTCTAATGATTTGAAAAATCATATATGCGATTACCAATCCTTGTACATACATTACCTGCATATACATGAGATATATTTTTCAGTAAAACAAAAAAAATTACAATAATACTGGCAGTTAAAATTTTCCTTATTCAAATTTTCTTGAAAAATTAGAAAATTAAAAAATAAATTTTTTTTTTAAAGAAAAAAATGTGAAACTTACTGCCATAGAAGGACTACTTTTTGTAATGTAAACAACGGATGGATAAAATTGCTTTTTCTGGAAAAAAGCATTTCCAACTGTAAGCAAAGTAAGAATAACACTTGTTATTGTCAAGACAAAAGTTGATGCATGTGCCATTTTAATGAAATATTCTGAAATTCTGGAATAATAATAATAAAATTACGATGTAATAAACATTAAACTTTGCTCTAAATTAATAAATCAGTTCTCAACAAGAAGAAGAAAGAAATTCATTTCAAACACTTCACAAATAATTCACATCATTCCTTAAAACAAAAATTATAATAAAATATCAAATTTTATACTATATATATATATTTTTTTTTGATAGCTTACAATGATAGTAATTTTACTTTTAAAGCTTTTTGTAAAGGTTAAAAAAAGAAATAAATCTTTTCATACAGTGATTAAATTTTAAATTACTTCAATAAATATTCATCTAAATAACTTATCATCCAAAGAAAGTTATAACGCCATTATTAAAATTAGCGAAAAAAAAAACTCAATTTTTGTTACTAAATTTACATATTTGAAAAAATATTCCTTGACTTGTGACCCATTTGATGAAAAATATAAATAAAAGCAGTAGCAATCATGCGATGCTTACTGAATCAATTAAAGTTTAAAAAATGTTTAAAATTTTTTCTCTTTCATTTACATTTAAATGATACCAAGTAACAAATAACAATAAAAGAATAAGAAATTACAATAAAGAAAGATACGAATAAATTTATATAATTTATTTAATATAACATAATATACATGTTTCTTCTATCTTTATTAAATATAACTACTCACATAAAATACCATCACCGAATCAAATTACCATATATTACATGCTTAATAGTGCATGTTATAAATAAAGAAATAATTAAAATCGATATAAAAAAGAATGAATAAAAATACTATTAAACAAATCAATTTCCCAAATTTAAAATATTTCCATTTTTTTTTTTTTTAAATATCGCGAAATGCTACGTAATTCTTTATATGAAATGGGAAATAATAACAAAAATAAAATAATTCAGAGAGGTGACTATACTTGCATAGTTTTCTTCCTGAGTTGAACTTTATCTTAAAAAAAAAAAATGATAAGACTAATAAAGAAATATAATTCACAATCTACAAGTAAAATTTACTTCCCAATCATTTTTCGCTCTAAAAACAGCTGAAAAAATTGAAATAGAACTTGCCAAATCAAGAGCAACACTTATCAAAATATCATTTAAAAGTTGAATAATAAAGAAAGGAAGAACAGTTCATGGTTTTCATAAACAGTATCGAAAGAAATGAGAAACCAAATTTATAAATGAAATTTCAAATAATGAGATTTGAACTTCGATTTCATCATTAAAATCTTTTTTCTGAATCAAATTCCCATTTTTTTTCTCTCTCTACTTTAATTGTTCATTAATTCACATACTTCTATAAATATTTCAGCAAAGAAAAAATACAGAGCAAACAATCCAGTATAAAAATATATTAAACCAAATAAACAGCGAACCGAAATTTGCTAAGTAAACTCTGGAATTTTTTCACATAATCGTCAGAATTAAAGTCATAAAATCTTAACTCGTAAAACAAAAATTAAAAAAAAAAAAAAATTAGCTCATAAAAACAAAATCAAAAATGTTACCCAAAAATGTGCATTTCTATACCAAAAATATCATGGAGTAAAATTATAAGTGAATTTAATAATTTATGAAATACATGATGTTTTCTCTCCATAGAATGTTATTATGTATTTCAAAAGAAAGTGTGGGAGAGAAAAAACAACATCAGAAGAACCTATAAAAGAAATAAGAAAAATGAATTTTGTTCCAAGTTCAAATGTAATAGTTAGGAAGACAAAAAATAATAATAAATATCCTCCTTAAAACACTTTTAATTTTTTTTTCCATCTAAATGAAAGTACAAAGAGGAAATAGCAAAATAATATTGCAGAAATGCAAAGCTGCTGGTAAATTGTTGGCACAAAATCGATTATGGAGAAAAACCAGAAATAGTAAAAAGTGAATAATGAATGAGTATATTTTCTGAAAAAGATGAAAATACAGTTTACAGAAAACATTCTCAAAATTATCGTTCCACATAAATTTTTTGGAAATTTTTACAGTACTAATTGTGGAAACTGCGAAAAGAATATATAAAAAAAAAAAAAAACAATAACCGTAGTGATAGTATTAACTGAGGAAAACAATAAATATCACAAAAAAGAAGAAAAGTACACCAAAAACTTTGATAATCAACCAGCGATTTTGTGATATTGAATGAAAGTATTTGACCAATTCCGTATGAGCAGCTTCAACATTTAATGATGTTTCTTCAACGTTTGAATCAATTCGAGTGATCATTTCACCTTGCTCAGTAACTAATGAAGCAAGCTATAAAACTTGAAATGAATGAAAAACATTCTAATTTAAAGAAAATATTTTTTTAAAAATATATCTAATTGAAAGAATTTTAAATGGAAGAAAATATTCTCCGAAAAAAAAAAAAAAAAAAAGCAAATATTAATCGTAGATTCTTTTATCCTTAGCAAGCATCCTTACATTACCTGAATTACATATATGCATCACTTCTTGAATAGATCACGTAAATTACGTCTTCCTTCAAACGTCAATGCTATGGAAACAAATACAAGACGTTACAAGTATCAAAATCCAAGTGATCTCAAGAAAGGATATATATATATATATATATATGTATTTCCTGAGAGAATATTACAGTAATGTTGTTTACGTAGTAAAAAGAAACTTAAAAGAAGCATACAACTAGTGGAAAATATAATCCAAATTTAAATAACATTACGTCGCAATCAATTAATGATGTTTGCAACTTTTCCTATATAAGAAGTTTAAGTAAGAAAAAAAGATTAACTAACCTGACGGAAAATTTGACCCAATTCTGATATGCTGCTTTCAATATTGTCCATTGCACTTGAACGAGCTTGCAAATATGCATCTTGTTCATTAATTAACGAAACCTATAATTTTTTAAAATTCAATTTCTTATTTTGATTTTTTATAATAACTCTCTTCCATTCGTTTTTAACTCTATGATATTTGCATCCAGAAAAAGCATTTTCGGTGATAACATAACTCAGTAATAATTTATTAAGTTAAAATTTCAAATGTTGAATTTATTCGAGATTCTCAAAATCTTGTGATGATAAAATTCATCTTTCTACTCAACCATTAATCAATTGTTATTCCTTCATCCCATAAAGCAATAATTACTGAATTTATTTCATCAAAACATATGCATGCTTGAAGATCATTTACTGAACTGAGGATGAGTTCATAAAATGTTAGCAAAATTCACAGTGTAAAAGAATAGCACAAATCATATGTATCTTTAGCAAAACAAGTCTTTGAAGATCAAAACAAACTAAATAAAAAATAAAAGGTACCTGCTGTTGTAACCTTTGCTGTTCTAACATATTTATATCAATCGCTACTGATGATGAAGCTTTTATTTCATCTTGAAAAAGAACTGAACCTACTGCAAAACAATTTATTAACTATTTAATACAAAAATAAACCAAAATCTTAAATCAAGATTTAAGCAACCTAAACAACAAACATATTTCAATACAAAATATTCTCGAAAGATTGGAATAACTTACAATTTCCCGAACTAACAGAAGGTGGTAAACTCGACGGCACAGGATGACCTTGACTGAATTTTTCACGACGTGATTTTTGTTGCTTTAGATTCTAAAATAGTAAGAAAATATGAAAACAGTGGGAGCATCCCAAATTACTAAAACATTCAACAACAGTTTTCAGTGATTTCTGAATATTACATTTTTGGAGACAAAAGATAAAGTACCAATAATGAAATTCAACTTAAATAAGACCATCCCACTGCCACCACAGTACCAACTAAGTTTCGAATGAAATTTCGAAACAGAATCAGTCACACCTCAGTTCGTAATTCCAGCACATTTTGAAAATCCTTGCTAACACTTGCTAGCTTTGATTGAAGTCCAACAACAATCAACTGTGAATGTCCATGTTTCTGATCCTTTTTGTTGAAATTGCTGTTATTTTTTGAAAATTCTTGCAACACTGCTATCTGCTTATTTAATCCTGTTATATCCTAGAAAATTTCATTTTTATAATTTACCATTTAAGGAGCACATTCAACAGCACTGATTTAAATAACATCTTTAAAACTTACATGTTTTATTACTTGTGATAATTCTCCCACTTCTGCCATGCGATCATCGAATAAAGACCGTCTTTTGGCTAATTCAGTTAATTTCTCCATCTTTGCACATGTCAAACTTAAATCACGCCCAATACGCCTACAAAACGATTATTTTTGAAGAGCAAATCAAAAGAACCTAAAACTTTACAAAAAGACTTTAACTTCTAATAAAAATTACTTTGCAAGTTGTGCAAACTGTACTGACTGCTGAATTCTCGGCTCTCTTGGCGTATAACCACCAGCTCCATACATTTTCATCTGAATAAAAATATCTTCTAACCATAAGTGATAAATCATTTCGCAGCAATTTTCAATAATTGAAAAGGTAAGGCATATTTCATGCTCCATTCTTGCATTAAATTAGTTGACTAAAAAATTTGAAAAACCTTTAAAGCAACAAATTAACCTGATAAGATTTCGCTGTAGTACGAAACTCGCCAGTACGATCACGAGACGGCATTTCTTCAGTTGCTTTAATAAAGCTTATTGATGAATTTTGTTCACACTCCGAATTTGTCGAATTGTTTCCGTAATAACCAAAAAATGGTGAGGTGTCAGTAGTGCCAGAGAAGGTGTGCTGCAATTATGATTGTTTATGGTACCGAAATATGGCAGAAATGGAAGTCATTAACACTAGAAATTGTAATATCTTGTGATTTTGCAAAAACTGAATACTTATTGGGCAGTAAATTTCATTCCGATGATAATGATAAAATTAGCAGTATATTCCGACCATAAATACTACAGAAATACAAATGGTTTAATAAAGTTTATTGTTGGAGTATTAAATTTGAATGCTAAAATCTAATGCACCTTTGAAAATCAAAATGAACTGTTCAATTAAATAGACAATATGCCCACATTATATTTAAAAGCTGATCTATACATCTTTATATCACTCTATTATAATATCACAATTGAGAGTGTTTTTGATTTCTTCAATATACATTTCTAGCATGCATTCTTTACATTTAAATATTATTTTTAAATATGTATATAAGATAGAGTGTCTAATAAACGCTCAACTTCACCAAGTCGTATCTTACCGGACAAACTATTTTTATAATATATTTGATAATCAAGTAAAAGTCCTTAATTTATCTCAAGTAAAACCTCCAAAATATCTCGGTCATATTCTATTCGAGAAGTACTTCAGTGGTACCTTAACAATAAAATCATTGTTAGGCTATACTATAAATCGACAAGTTCAACAACATTCAAAGAAAACACGTCAACATATACCTTTTCATCACTTGCTCTTTCCACAATTCAAAATTTTTATCAGTGCATTTGATAATTTTCAAGCCACTTTCGACAACCTTTACAAAATAACAATTCGTTCAGCCTAAACGATGCTAAGTAACTTTCAAACTTATTCTCCAATATAATCTGTTATTTGTGCATCACAAATCGCATTCTCCATTTGCCAAGATTTTTTTCAGATGTTTTCAATTATTATTCTCTGAATATCCTTGTGACAGTGAAGAAAAATTACAATTGCTCATGCATTCAACTTCTTGTCTTTGACAAAAAACATTTAATGACAAAGATAAAAAAAGAAAAAGCATTCATCCAAAATGTTTACTATGGAGAAATTTCCGAAAATATTTACGCCTAGAAAAATCATTCAATCTTTTCATCAACAACAAATCTTTGGTTTTAATATTTAAACAAAGAAAGGTATCAATAGCTAGTTATAACACTGACTCACTACTCTTCTTATTTAAATATTTCAATATTATGAAATCTGAATGATCTAGTTACAATATTCCATTCAGCGACAATATTCAAAACAAAATAAAACTTCAATCGCAATTCAATCAATATCACGATCAAATCATGTCCTCATTCGTTATCCCAGCATGTGTCAAATTCACTACGAAAATTTTCATTTCATCATTACCAATTCATTTCTCATCCACGTATCACAGTTCTTTTCAAAGAGGAAAATGTCATACACACTTCACTATGTAATTATAAGTATTTTGTCTAATCAACTCTCCATTTTTTCTAATTTGGCTCACTCTTTCATACATACATATACATAATTTTCTGTTTTCACAATAAACTTTATTATGCTATTACAACTATTTAAAAGTTAGCAAAACCTATTTACTTGCTTCATGCTATTTAGGAAAATGCAGCCTAACATGTACATTAATATAGCTTAATTGTTAATATAACTTATTTCAATTACTATATATTTCAAAAAATTTCTTACTTCTCATTTCAATCTTCTTTGCACCCAGAAATCTTTTATGCATCATTTCGTCAGTTCATCTATTTTGAAATTCTTGCATGTATTTATAAAATCATTAATGCCTTATTACCAAAGTAACCATAAATTATCAAAAAAAAAAAAAGATATGCTTTAAGAAGGCGTTAAAATAAAAGCGTGAGAAGTCATATATACCTGAGCAGAAGACCACAACGACGAAGAAAGATTTGCAAACGATGAGAACGGGCTACCTTTCGATTTGATAACGTCTTCTGAAGGAATATGATTCACGTCCGACTTCACACTAATACCAGAAGTCGTAACGCGTCGTCGTGTAACTGTCAAAGGTAACTCCGTCTCATTCACATGCATTAATGAACTTAAACACCTTCGTCAATACCTACCGTTTTCCTGAAATTAATATTATATATGAGTTAAGATTTAATAAAAACAAATATTACTTACAAACTTACATCATATTACATCATTATAGATTTAAATTTACATCATATATTTCATTTAGAAAAAAAAACATAAATTTCCTACCAATAATCAAGATCATAGAGCTAATTTAAAATTTTTTTTTTTCATTTACAAATTCATTCAATATAAACGATTAAATGAAAGATAAATGCCAGAATTACTAACAAATTTGTATAGTATATAATTCAAAATGAAATGAATATTTAAAACATTAAAGCTAACAAAAACAAGTTAGTGTAAATATTTTTACACTACAATAAATATAAGAAAAATGATTGTTGCAAAGATTATTTAAAAGGTAGATTAGAGTGGAATGATTAATTCAAATGAAACTCTCGGGTTACTTGCCCTCCTTTTGCCCAGCTATTCTACATTCCCCAAAGATATTCCAGCATTTCAACTGATCACAACTTCACTTACATCACTCTTTTTTTTTTTTTTTGGCTGACGTGGTAAATGGGAATTCACGGTTGCGGGCCGCAATTTTAGTGAATGAAAAAAAGGAGGGATTGACTGAGAGATTTGAGATATCGCAAGACAAAGAGCTGGGGTATTGGGAGTGGAAGTATCTGAGATATCGCGGGGGGAGAACTGAGATATTAGAAGTGAATGAATGTGAAGTTTTATGATTTGCAGTTTCATAATTAGATATTATTATAGATTAGATTAATAATATTAAATTTATGTTTTGCATATTTTTTGTTCGAATTTACTTTAGTCATATTTTGAATCTAAGTAAATCTAATTGTAAAAAAAAAAAGGAAAAAAAAAAACATGAATAATTTTCAGGACAAATTGGTATCTCTTTTGTTAAAAATGCAAAATATCGCAAGTACTGTTTCTTTGCTGTTTTCAGCTATATTAGTATTAGGCCATCAAGCACCATCATTTCCAGATCACAATGCACAGAAGCCATTGGAAGTAATTTTTTTTTGTGGTGTAAATATCGAGATTTTAAAAAATTTGCAACAAAATTATTAGAACAAATTCTTTCTTACACAAGTATCTCGTTCATTAGAGAAGCTATTTTTTTTTTATTCAAAAAAAAAAATTTTTTTGATAAGTTCAATTTTTTCGTCTTATGAGACTGATGTTTCGTTTATGAAGGTGCATCATCAAGGTCAGATACATCAACAATCACCACCTGCTCATCCAAATACACCACCTCAAGGTGCACGAGAATTTGGAGGTGAACAAGTGAAGAATGTTGAGTATGTGGCATTATTATCCTTTTACATTAGAAAATTTAACCAATAATTTTCTTGGTTTTTAAAAGTTGTTACTTTTGAGGAATAGGTTTCAATTCTGTATTGGACCTGATATTTAGTTTTTATTTTTTCCAAAAAAAAAAAAAAAAAAAAAACTCGAATTTAATAACATATTGGTTAACTTGTCATATTAAAGCTGTTATCTATTAAAATTTCAAATAACGGAAATCAAGAAATTTTCTTGTCTTTTCGATGAGTGCTAATATATACTGATTTATGTGTATTGTTTGAATTTAGATAGCGATAATAATAATAATTTAGATAGAGTATGTATATAATTTGTTGAGTTTATATACTTTTATATCTTAACCAGCTTGGTTGGTTTCTTGTTATAAATGGTATTTGGAAGTGTAAAAGAAATTGAGACTGCTTAATTAGCTGTTATTTTTATAATGAACTTTTGAAAAGCTGATATGCTAGTTTTAATTCTAAGAATAGCCGAACGAAAATAGTTATTTCTTACAACTTATGATTTAAAAATTTAAGCTATTTTTGTTGTTGTTTGACATAGCTTTGCTATAACTGGTATCATAAGTAAGATCTCCATAGAGTTACAAAATTAAATTTGTGAAGCAGTTAGTTTTGGAAATTACCCATTATTCATATAGTGAAAGCTATCATCACAATTTACACTTTTTTAGACACATCAAAGAACATTTGGATGGTAAACTTGATCAAACTGCAAATATGACACCCGAGCAATTGCAGTTCCATTATTTCAATATGCATGATATGGATAGAAATGGTTTATTGGATGGTCTTGAATTAATTAAAGCAATTACACATTTTCATGAAGGTATTATCATCTTTATCTATTATATCATTGTATATTTCTGTTGCTATCATGTATTTTAAGTGTTGGAATGAAAACAGAGTAAAATGAAATTTGTTGCATGAATTTTGTTATTTTTGTTATTAATAAAATGGAATTTTTATTATTAATTTTGATCGAATATTCCAGAAAATCGGGATTCCCGACAAGACGCATCTCAACTACCAGCAGTACTAACGGAAACGGAAATTGAACGGATGTTAGATCCAATCTTTAATTCGGATGATCTCAATCGAGATGGTTTTATCAGTTATCCTGAATTTTCTAAAGCTCAAAAGCAACGAGACGAGCAAATGAGACAACAATACCAGCAACAACAACAACAACAGCAATCTCCGCATCACTAGGAAAAATGTTTGTCTCTTCACTATTTCAAGTCATAATTTACAAACTGTTCGTAGATGGTTGTGACGATGTCTTTTTTGCTGAAAATTTAAAATACTTAAAGAACTTACTGTGGTGAGGATTTAGTTTGGATTTTTTTTTTTCCTTTTTGAGGATGCGGTATAGCCTTTTACTCATTTATTTATCTAATGTTGAAAGTTTTCACAATTTACGAATTGAGATAGGCTATTCTTTCAGTAAGCTTTTAATAGGCTTGAGGTCTTGTCATATACAGAAAAGATTGCTGTTATAGAGAATTAATAGGCAAAATATTTGTTTTCAGCATTGTTATATTTCAAATTGAAATGCATATCACAACTCTTTCTAAATGTATATTTATATACTGAAGTTGGATCTGCTTTGTTTTGCTGAATATTCATCGTGCAAATGGTTTGGGAGGAGATGCTACTTCATTTTAAAAATAAAATCGAAATTTTTTTATGACATTCACTTTTAAATGCTGAAAATAGAATTATTTGAGAGATGATTGAACAGCTGAAGTTAATTTTAGTTTTATTCCGGTTTTTTCAGTTGGGATTTTGAACTGGAACTTGTTGTTTATCAGCTATAAAATTCATAAAAGAACTCAAATAATACTCAATTAGTCAAACGAATAAGAATCTTGTTAAGCCTTTGTATAGGAAGTTTTTTGGAAATTTGAATACTTTGAAGATACTGATATATTTATTTTCTTTAAATTCTGTATAACACATATAATTACATATTTTAAGTTCATAATTTCTTAAATTTGAAACATGCTGTGATTTTGTTTGCTTCATCAATAAAAATAAGTTCTGCAAATAGTTTTGTAAACATCGGAATTTGCTTCCATAACAAGGAGGAAATTTATTATAAAGATATGGGATGTGCTTAACACTAAATAATTTTGGCAAACTCTAAAAGAAGAAAGAAAGAAGCAAATGTTGAAGACTACTTATGCCAATTAAAAATGATATGAAATAAAAATGTTTGAACAATATTACAAATATGTATGTACATTACAAATATTATATATATGTGCAATCATTTTTGAAATTTATTTTCCATAACTAATCATCTTACTAATCTATTATATAAGAAGAAATTTGTCAATAAATTGATAAGAATTACAGATTTTAATGCCATAATTGCTAAGCTATATAAAATTATTGCTTTTCTATTATTATAGAATGCAAAGAAAAAAAAAAAGGAAAAGTATCTTCCTGTTTGAATATCATTTATAAGTATGAGCTTTCATTTTGATGGATGTATAAACTCAGATGACATTAAATTAATACTTAAGCACTTTTGAATATTTCATCAATTTTATGAATTGACGAAATCATAGGATAAATTTAAATGATAAATTATGTCATTTTATAATTGATAATTTGCACTGATGCAATTGTCACCAGCAATTATATTATCACATGAATATGTCACATGTTCATGTCATCCATCTATACAATTGTCATCTGTTTTAATCTTTCATCCTATCTCTTACAAACTATATCAGGCAGGTAATTGGGAATTAACGGGGCCGTGAAATCATTCGTATCAATATTATTGTTTGTTGTGAAATAGTTTTAGATTTTAATTATTTGTTCTTAATTAAGATATAGTTTTTAATTAATGCATAAAGTAATAAAGTTATTGCTAAAGGGGAAAAAAATTGATAGATTAATAGTCGAAATATTATTAGATTATTTAGCTTATTCAATTCAAAATTTTTTAGATATGGTTAAATACGAAACTGTAAAGTTAGCAACTGGTGCTGATTTACCGCTTTTTGGTTTGGGTACATGGCAAGTAAGTTTTTCTCATTATTCAAAATATGAAAAATTTATTTATAAAATGAATAATTTAGCGAGAAATAAAGGACTAATTTAAAAAAAAAAAAAAAAAAAATGAAATAATAACAAAAATAGTAGTTTTTTAAGCTATTATGTTTAAATATATGTTTAAAATATCTTTAAATTATAACTCATAAATAATTTACTTACCTGTTACTTACTTATTTGCTCATGTATCTAATTCCTATTGCATTTAATTATGGATTTATTCCTGTGTGTTAGTTTTTGTGTTATTTTGATGAAGCAAACTAGATTTAAATATGAAGAATTAAATTCTGTTTCAATTGATATTATAGTGATAAAATTCATGTTAAAGTAATATTATTGTAACTGGACTTAATTTCGATTTTAATCAAAAAAGAAAAGAAAAACTATCATATTGGAATATATATTATACTTCTTTACTAAAGCTTTACTTTATAAAAGTTAACTTTTAGCTTTCAAATTTTTAGAATAAATAAGCCGTCGAATTTTCAGATAAATCTTTGAAAAGTTTCTATATTCAAATTGTTTCAGTCCACTGATCCAGAAGCTTTAGCAACAGCACTAAAGACAGCTCTGGATGCTGGTTATCCATTAATTGATACAGCTTATGTTTATCGTAACGAAGCTACTATTGGAAAAGTATTGCATGAATATTTCACTTCTGGCAAATTAAAACGAAACGATATCTTTATCACAACAAAAGTAAGTTCTTATCACCAGAAATAATCACATATACTACGCAGTTAGTTGAAAATTAGTTAACATTTAGTAAAAATTAACTTGTAGCTTCGAAATTTTTAGAATAAATAAGCCTTCAAGTTCTTAGGATGAATAAGGTTAGGATAAATTTTTAGAATAAACCTTTGAAATCAGTTGATTATACATAGTGTAATATTTAACTTTTTTGGTAAAACGCCCTTATCACTGTGTAATGTAATGAATTATTCCACTTAGTTTGTTCGATTTTAACAGAAATGCATTTTTCTTTTTTAATTTCAAAAAAATAACAAAGTAATATTATTTTTTTCTTCTTTTGATGTTGTAATTTGTATATAATTCTTTTCCATTTACAGCTACCGTTTATGGTACACAGACCGGATGAAATCGAAGGATTGGTGAAGAAACAATTGGAAAATTTGCATGTGGATTATTTTGACCTCTATCTTATCCACTGTCCATGTCCATGCAAAGTATATAGTTTTTTTTTTTTTTTTTTCACTTATTTAATATGGTCACTTATTAATCATCAATTTGTGAAATGAAAGGTAAATTGAGTGTCATCAATAAATGTTTATGCTTAGGACTTTCAGAAATTTGATACTAATGCTAAATGTTTTTTCTTCTTTTACAGCATCGACCTAATGACACACCGGATAACTATCAACTGCTACTGAAGGATGGAAAGGTAGTTCCGGACTTGGTTGATCATATGGAAACCTGGAAAGTGCTGGAAAATTTGTATAACAAAGGAATACTGAAAGTACGTTTTACTAATGTTATATTTCAAAATATCATTAATTTTTTTTTGTTTGTTTGATCAGATTTATTTCATCATTTAAATTTGTTTTCAATGTTTATTTATCGTATTTTCATTAGGCTATTGGTTTGTCTAACTTCAATGTAGAACAAATGCAATATGTTCTTGACAATGCAACTGTAAAACCACATAATATACAGGTAAGAATTTTTAATGAATGACTACTACATAACATAGTGATTGCATATCTTTGTAAAATAATTTTGACCTTTTTAACTATTCTGAGCGGTGTATTCTGGAATTACGGGATTTTCAAATTTGTTTTATTATTTAAGTAGTTTTTCTTTCCTGTTTATTTTAATATTAGTCTTTTTGGGATCGGTTAATATCTAGGTGGAGACACATCTCTACTGGCCGCAAAACGAGCTTTATGAACTTTGCAAAAAGAATAATATAACAATGACAAGCTATTCTACACTTGGTTCACCAGGAAGAACGGCTTTCAATCCAGACTTTAATTGGCCTATTGGTGAACCTATGAAGGATCCTTTAGTTTTAAAACTAGCCGACAAATATAAGAAATCATCAGCTCAGGTATGTGTATTTGTGAAATCCTCGAATTGTTGTTTTCAATTAAATTAGTTTTCGACAATTTTTTTAAAAACTTCATTTTTGACAGGAATTTTGTAACAGTTCAAATTTGCTCAGCATTATTGGTCACAAAAATTTGTTACTTTGTTTCAGATACTTCTACGTCATATGACACAGCGTGGTATTTCTACCATTCCTAAAAGTATTAATCCAAACAGAATACTCAAAAATTTTGACATTTTTGATTTTAAATTAACAAAAGAGGAAATCAAACAATTGGATGACGTAAAGACACGTGTTCGTCTTTTTCTTTTTGATATGTAAGTTTTATATTATGTTGCTTTTTGCGATTTTTTTTTTAACATGAATTACTTTTTTACTTCATCTTATTGAAAAAATTGTGCTTTTTGTAATGCATGTAATCCTGTATAGATTTCATAATTTTTGAAATTTAAAAGAAATTAGAAAACAACTATTTTCTAAATTACAAAGTTTAGTTATTATGATTGTAGGAATTATACTAATTTGAACCATTTCAGGCTTTTTGATCATCCATGGTATCCATTCAAAGATGTTGACGTATCGAAAATGAAGCGCGTATATCTCAAAGATTGAAGTGTCATTGATGCCATGCATTTGCCGAACTTCAGTCTCTCAATTCTTATTTTCGATATTTAATACTTATTATCCATATTTAATCTCTTAAACCTTAAATTTAATTTTTTGGCACTGGTGATGGTGTGTTTTTCATATATGTATATTTTATTCAAAATTGACCCCATATTATTATCTAGAAAGGATTCTGATCATTTAGGGAAATAAAACTGATTGTTGTATCAATGTTTTGTTATAAAGTATACATAAGTATTATCATCTAATAGGGAAGTTTGTATGAAAATTATTTTAATAGGTAAGTTTTGCTGGAAAGTGAAAATTGAAATTTATGTAATTTCATGTAATAGAATTGTGGTGGTGCTTTGGCTTTAAAAAGTTTTCGAACTAAAATTAAATATTAATTCTAAGCTGTTCAAATTAATTCTAAGCTATTCAAAAATTAAATCATTTTAAGGAATAATTAAAAATTGACAATAGAGGAATAATTAACGTTGATAAATGGACAGATTAATATAATTAAATGTCTCCATTTGTTAATATGTATGTACTTGTGCTTGAAATAAATGATCAGAAATCTTTCCTTTCAATATTTTCAGTTATTTTTTTCACTTACAAATAAATTTTTATTTTTTTTTTTTTAGATTTTTACAGATGTAATTAGTTTAGATTTTGTAAACAATGTCATCTTCCTAATATTTTCATTTCTTATTGGTTGCCTTATGAATTCCTTATCAATTGTCGATGAATTATAAAAACATTGAATTCTTCATTCTTCAAAATAGTCATCTTTTTTTTTTTCTTTTTAAGATTTTTATTTGTTTAAAGTTACAAACAAGCATTTTCGATAATTGCAATAAGGATTTCATGTTAATCTTTTCTTTCCATTGCTTCATCATTTTTTTTTATTATTTTGCAGGAATCTACAAAAGCATAATTTTGTTAAAATATTTGATTCCATTTTTTTTTTTTTTTTCTTTTTTCAACATCATTATTTTAAATGATATATTAGAGATTGCGGGATTTTCTGGGTGAATTTTTGTAATGTATTTCAATTTCCATTTTAACGTATTTCAATAAATTCACAATAATTGCTTCAACATTTTGCTAGAAAAGAGAACTGCATACTAAATATGCTACATCTGCTAACAAATCTGTTTATTTGCTAATTTTCATTAATTTAATTCATTTAAAGATATAGCTGTAGTACCAAGCGACATATAATCCACGTCAACATTTTGCATTAGTAGTTTTAAAAAAAGTTTTTTTTAATTTTTCGTCATTTTTGAATTTGCTCGAGATTATAGTACTTTTCTGTTTCTTCGTTCAAAATTTTCCGGAATTGATACCAAAATATTTGAGTATAATGACGGCTTTCTTATAATAGCATATTTCGATGTTTACAAAATCATTTGCGAAACTTACTTAATATTTCATATTATATATTAACAATTATACATGTTATAGATTAATATTTAATATTTATTTTAATTTTTTATTAATATTTAATACTTACTGATAAAAAGGAAAATAAAAATAAAAATATCAATTAAGTGTAAAAAATTATGAAACCGAAACTATATTTTATCAAAATAAATATTACTATAATTAAAGATAAAATTTAAATGAAATAAAATGAATCAATCTTAATACTTTCAAAATATCTAAATTTTCAAAAAAAAAAGAAAAAAAAAACTACCCGAAAAGTTAACAGAACACTTTCTATTAACTCGTTTCTTCGATATTTATTATATATATTTCATTTAAAAAAATAAAAATTAATCACTGAGGAAAAACTAGTTTTTGATTATTACACAATTAATTTTTGAATGAAAAAACGATTCATTTTTTGATCGATAAAAGAAATTAGCTTATTTTAATCAAATGAATTAACTATATAACTATTTTGTTAGTTGGAACGAATCAAATTGTAATTTTAATTTAATTAAAATTTGATCTCAAAAAAAGAATTTTATAAAATGTTTATAATTATTAGTCTTTTAAATTTTGAAACTTAATTCGTCATTAAATTATGCTTATAATTTGATTAATTAATTCAAAATCAAATATTGAATTAACATTTCGCAAATTGAGCTTAACCCTTCAGTAATTTGTTTTATCTTTTATAGCTATTGAAAAGAGACTTCTAGTTGTGTATTTATTGATACAATGACTGATATTGGTATGGAAAGCAATGAATTATCAAGAAAAGAAACAAAAGTAAGTTTTACTCTTTATAGCATATTTATCTTAACAATATCATTAGTAAAATGAATCATTTAATATTACGTGAACTAGTCACGTTTCTTACGTATTATATTATTATTATTACATAAACATAATCTTTTTTTTTAATTTTAGATAGTATTTTTAGTTGATAATTTAATTTTATGTCAAATTTATTTATTATTATATGAAAATAATGACATCAATATAATTTTTATACATAATATTTAATTATATTTAAAATTTTATTTTAATATGAATTATAATTGCTGATGTTAATATGTTGTTGATGATGTGTGATAATTATGCAATTATCTTTTATTTTTTCAGTAATTTTTACAATACTAAAATTATTTGTATTTTGTTTTATTATTTAGAGTAAAAATGAAATTTCAAGTGCATCAGCTCAAGTTGCTGAACATTATAATGCAGTACCACAGAAGGGTGTTGCTGAGAGGACAAGCAGTCGAATATTTTATCTTCGAAATTTTAACAATTGGATCAAAAGCATGCTAATTGGTATGTAATTATCAAATGTAATTTCGATTTATTATAAAAAAAAAAAAAAATATTAGTGATGTGATTAAAATGTATTGTTTAATGGAATTATCAAAATAGCATAAAATTTAAAGTATGAAATTTTAGCATTTTCAAAGAAAAATTTTTGTTTTTGTTTTAATTAATAATTTTTAGCGGAATTCTTGGAAAGATTGCAAAAAGAAATTTGTTCAAAAGCAACCGTACTTGATTTATGCTGTGGTAAAGGTGGTGATTTTTTAAAATGGCGTATTGGAAATGTTGGTCATGTTGTTGCAACAGGTATTTTTAAGTTTTATTAGATTCAATTATCTCAAATATATACTTAAATGCAACAATTTTGAAGAAATTCATAAAGTTGAAATCAAATAACGATTAAATTAAGGAAAAAATGAAATGGCAAAATAAGATTTTGCCTTTTCGTCATAAAATTTCCATTTTATTTATTGAGTATTTTTCAAAATAAATTTTTTGACATTTAATAAGTTTCTGTCCAATTTCCAACTAAACCATTATTTTATTTCCATTCTAGGTAACTTAAGTTAGGTTTTTTTTTTTTTATAATATTTTCTTGGCAATTTTTTACTGATAATAATAAAGTATTAGCCTAAATTAGCGTTGTGATTCAAGCGACCAAATGTTAAGTTTTATTTCAATTTTTAGATATAGCAAGTGTTTCATTGGAGCAATGTGAAAAACGATATAAAGATATGAAAGCACGAGAAAATCCAAGACGGCCATTATTTAGTGCTGAATTTATTGTTGCAGATGCTACAAAAGTATTTTTTTGTTTCATATTTTCTTCACTTTTGGATTTATTTTCAATGCATTGGTCAAAAAAACAAAATCCCCTATCAATTCTATTTTGCTTTGTATTCATTAATTGAAAAGAAAAAAAAAATAAATTTGAATAAGTTTTTTTTTTTTCTCTGTTTTTCTCCTCTTTCTATATCAATTTTTTATTATATGAATTCTTATTATTCAGGATCGTCTAATAGATCATTATTGTGATCGCTTTATAAAATTTGATATGTGTAGCTGTCAGTTTTCACTTCATTACTGTTTTGAAAGTGAAAAGCAAGCACGAAAAATGATACAAAATGCGGTAGAGCGATTAAAACCAGGCGGTTATTTTATTGGCACATTACCAGATGCTGAAAGAATTATGTGAATTTTTTTTTTTTACAATATATATTAATAATTAAAGCATTACATTCCAACAAATTAATATCTTGAAAAGTTAGTAGCATGTTTTAGAATTTGGCTAGAAACATTGATAAATTGTAATTTTCTGCTAAAATCTTAGAATAATAATTTGAAATTGGATTAAAACTAAATTTGGTAATATGAAATGAATAGAATAATAAAATAGAAGTAAAAAGGAATAAGATTTCCGTACCATAAGTTACCATTTATGTTATTGAAAGTAATCAATTAAAATGAATCAATGAATTGAAATGATTTTTGAATACTACAAAATTATATGTTGTGGAAGTGAAAAGAATTTTGTTTTTAAGGTACTGTATTAAAAATTCTAAAAATGGAACATATACCAATGGTATTTCATGTCTAATGTACGGTGATGTTGAAGCACTTAAAGATAGCATTTATCGGCCACCTATTTTTGGTGCATTAATTCATTTTTCACTTGACACACAGGTAAGGTTAATTATTTTTGATTTTGAATAATGCGAAGTAGGCTTGAAATTATTCTAGCTACTCTTCCTATCTTATTACTAAAAAATCACTTTCTTATCCTTATTGATAAATTGTTTTTAGCTGATAATATTTCTTTTCATATTAATACTATTTGGTGAAAGAAATTTTTCATTAAATTTGAAAAAAAATATGACTTAAAAGTTTAATTTTTTATTATAGGTCAACTGTCCAGAATACCTCGTGCATTTTCCTGTTCTTGAAAGGTGGGATTGATTATTAATTCTTTATTTTTTTTAATATTAATTTTTCAAATTTCATCATAACTATTTTTATATTTATTCTGGAGGTTATAAATTAAAAGATTTATATTCTAACATAACATAAATAAAATTTCAAATCAATCTACTTGATTGAAAGAGTAAAAATATTTTATGAAAGAAATGTTGAAAGTTGTATAAGTAGAGGCAAATCTCCAGTTGAAGATTGCTTGCTGATTGTGGATTGAAACTGGTTTACAAGAAACGTTTTCCGGATGCATTTGAATATTATATAAATGAAAGAAATGGACGAGCATTATTAGGTCGAATGCAAGCATTGGAACCTTTTCCACCTGTTGATGATGTGAAGTAAGAATTTAGTTCATTAATTAAGATTTTTGTTTTATTTTGTTTTTCAAAAATTTTGAACTCTTTAAAAGTATTTTCCAAATTTTACTTCGCATTATGATAAATTGATGAATAATGTTTGTATAAGATTTTTTCTTTTTCTTTTTTTTTTTTTTTTTTAAATTAAATTTGCAAGAAAATATGTGCAGGGAAAATATTTCATTCTATTCATACATACATTTGTGTTTAACAAAAATTAATACTTTTCATTTTTTAGGTTAATGGGACCATCAGAAAGTTATAAATTCGCAGAGACGAAGTTAAATGAAATCATGGAAGAACGTTTAGAAGCAGGATGCGTTGGAATGGTTTCTTTTTTTTTTTCTATATTTTGAGTTGATTATTTTCTTAGATGATAATCCTTAATTTCAGATTTTTTTCCTTTTTTCCTTTTTTTTTTGATATGAGAATATAATTTTCAATTCTATTATTACTATTATTTTCTTCTTTTATACATAGAAATGATTAATTTTTTCATTTTTTTTTTTTTTTTTTTGTATTTTCTCCATTTGTCATCTAACATTTTGGAATTTTTTTTTTTTTTTTTGATTATATGAAAAAGTTATTAAGAATTTTCAGGGAACACTATCGCAAGATGAATGGGAAATTGCATCAATGTATCTTGTTTTTGCTTTTCAACGAGAAAAAAATGTATGAATTTGTTACATACAATGAATGTACTTCAATATGATGACTCAACTTCATTTGATATTGAGCAGCGGTGCTGATTTCGATGAATTCAAAGAAAATATAATTTTTCAATTGCTTCAAACAAAATATCAACGTAGCATTGAAATAGATAAGATGAATTCTCACAAATTATTATATATGTATATTTTTTTTTTTTATAGGATACTTGATTAAGCAGTATTGTTGGTGAGCTTCGATTGATTTGTAAGAATACTGTTACAGTAAAAGTAAATTTGTGTTTAATTGTTCCAAAAAGAAAATTTAATTTTAGAAAATTGACGTAACATTTTTTTTTTGGAAGTTTGATTCATTGCTTATCATAATTTTTAAAAATTTATAATCTTTTCCATGTTTGTGCTAATGATTCAGATAAATCATTTTGTGAATTAGGCTTTCAAGTGATTTCATTCCTGTCTTCCAGATTTTGTTAATTTTGTTGATGTTAAATGTTAGTACGTTTTGTATTATCATGAAATTCCATCGATGATTGTTGAATCAGCCGATGGATTAGAATAAATTGTTGAACGGTTGGACATTGTATTCTTTTGGAGAAATTATTTGTTTACTTGTTCGGTATACTATGGCATGTCATAGTGTTAAAGAGAAACACGCAGTACTCTAAATTATTATATATTTTAAATGTTTGCATATATTTAATTGAAAATTTTCCAATGGTTGGTTTAATACTTAAAGCAAATTAATAATCAATTATTTATATCATAATGATAAATAAAATCAAAAAGTATATTATTATTAATGTTAGTCCAATCAAGAAGGAAAAAATTAGAATAGAAATTTTATTCTTTCTTTGCATAATTTTATAATATATTAAATTAGTGTATAAAATCAAGTGTTTTTTTTTTCCAAAAAAAAAGAAAGCGATTGCAAATAAATTTCTGCGAAATTTGATAAAACTGCAATTAATTTTGTAGTTTTACCAAATCTATCATTTTTTGTAGTTTCATCAAAAAAAAAAAATTGAAGAAAATGGTGGGGAAAATTTCTTTTTTTTTTTTTTTGTTATTTATTTATTTGGTCCCTCTCTTTCTAAAGAAAGGAAATTGTATGTTTTCAAATTATTGCAACTAGAATGTTTGTACGTATCTTTCTTCCTTCTCTTTAATTCACATTATCATCCTATCACGCAATTCTATGCGCAAATATCCAATTGTTATTATTTATCATTGTTATTGTTACTATTATTGTTGATTATTATTATTTATCATTATTATTATTTATTATTGCTTATTATTATTATTATTATCATTATTATTATTATTATTATTAATTATTGTTATTATTTATTATTATTAATTATTTTTATTATTAAATATTACTATTATTTATTATTATTAATTATTATTAATTGTTATTATCATCATTGTAATTATTATTTGTTTAATATTATTACTATTAATCATTATTAATTGTTATTGTTATCATCGTTATTGTTGTTGTTGTTTTAGTTCTTATTGTTGATCACTAATCTTGTTAACAATTGTTAATTATGTTATTGAAAAAATTACAGCGTTTAATGATCAGAGCAAATTTATATTAATTTTAATCATATTTCCAATTTTAATAAGCTTTTTTCATGTTTGAAGTGTACTTGTTATTGATCATAATTCAATTATACATTTATTCATCTTCCTGTATTTATTTATTTATTTACATGATTTTTTTTTTGTGCATTTTGTTGACCTTTTTTTTTATTATTATATATATTATAGATTAAATTTTGTTTTTTAATATTTGATTTATATATAAAATGGAAAAGAAAAGATAGGAGAGGAGAGGAGAGAGGTAGAATGAGAACCGGATTTTGGATAGTTATTATCATTAGTGAAGTAGTGTTTTGAATAACCGGAGCTATTAAGAATGTAGCAGGAGTAGTACGGATGATGATAATAATAATAATAATAATAAATGATAATAATAGTAATAATGTAAATAATAATAATAGCAATAATAGTAGTAATAATAAAGTTAGGAAGAAGAAAACGATGTGATAATGGAAGAGAAAAAGTAAGAAAAGTTGAAAATGTTAACTTAAGAGAAAAATTTATTAATGCTTTTTAATATGTGTTATTTTCTTTTCTATTTTTCTTTTCCTCCAAATTGTAAATAAATATTAACCAAATAATTTCTATATGATTTCATCGTGTATTTAGAGAAATAAATGATAATAAAGAGGGAAGTTTTTTTTTTTTTTTTTGTTTTTCGTTTTATCAATAAAAATTTTAATTATTTTTTTTTTAATAAAGTTAAGCATTAATTTTATTCTAATCATTGTCATGATCAGCTGTTAAAAGAATGAAGGTAAGAAGTAAAGGTTAATTATTAATTATTAGGTCAATTAGATGGGAAAGAAAGAAAAGTTAAAGTTTAGTATGTGAATAAAGAAAGTGAAATTATTGATTGATTGATTGGTTGACTGATTGATTGAAGTAGGAAAAGACTGATTTAATTACCAAAAGTTATTGATTCTTTTATAAGTTTTAGTTGTATGGAAAAAAGAAAGAAGGAAAGTATTCATTAATTATATTAAATTATAATTTTATGATATGTAATTGGATGAATGATTATATGTTAATTAGTAATGACTAATTAGTAATGGGTAATTAATAATGGGTAATTAGTAATGGGTAATTAGTAATGGGTAATTAGTAATTCTTGTTTCTCGCAATGTCGAAAATTTCATTCAGAAAAAATAACTAATGATAAAAATTAAAATATGAAAATCATTTATTAGTTATCAATTAGATCTAGGCAACATGTATGTATGTATATATATGTATGTGTATGTATGTATGTGTGTGATTATATATGCATGTATGTATGTGTGTATGTATTTATGTGTATATATATATATATATGCATGTATGTGTGCATGTATGTATGTCTGTGTGTGTGTGTGTGTGTGTGTGTGCGTGTGTGTGTGTGTGTGTGTGTGTGTGTGTGTGTGTGTGTGTGTGTGTGTGTGTGTGTGTGTGTGTGTGTGTGTGTGTGTGTGTGTGTGTGTGTGTGTGTGTGTGTGTGTGCATTATTTGTTGTCAAATTTCATTTCATTTTTGATTTCAATGTTTACAGTATTATATACGAACATATTATTGAAAAAATCTGAAAATATTAATAAATACTATAAAAAATTTTATATTGTAAAGTACGGAGAGAGAGAGAGAGAGAGAAAGAGAGAAAGAGAGAAAGAGATAGCATTCGTAAATTAAATATGAAATCGTTTTAAAAGTTTCGAAAAAAAAAAAGAATTTAATAATTTATTCAAATTTACAATTTATTATTTAGTAAATGCATCCTCTGTAATATATAATATACCTAATAATTTATACAAATAGATCAATAATTTAAAAAAAAAAATTGATTTGATATGATAAGAATATGATAAGAACTTCTTTCTTTTTCCATATATTTTATTCAAAAAATAAGAAAAAAATAATAAAATAAAATAAATAATAATAAATATTTATTGATTGATATTTTTCCCACAGAAATGTTTTAATTTTAAACAAAAAAATTGATCAAATATTCATTCAAAAATAAATTTGTTTTTTCTGTATTTTAAAATTACGAAATTTGCAAAAAGTGCAACAAAAATTGAATAAACAAAAAAAGAATTTTTGAAATGAATGAAACAAAAAAAAAAATGAAGTCAAAAAAAAAGAGAAAAATTAAGGATATTTTTGTGATGATCACTTCAAACAATACTTCTTTCTTTGAAATTTATAAAAAAAAAAATAAAAGGAAAAAAAAAACTTTTTTGATTTTTATGAATGGAAAGAAAAATTTTTTTCAAAGAGATATTAATCTTTCTTCTTTTTTTTTTTTAAAAAAAAAAAAATTCTTTTTATTCACAGAAAGATTTATTATTTAGCTTTAAATATTTAATTTTATTTCAATGGTTGATCGAAACAAATGAAAAAAAAATTAAATGTTTATAACTATTATCTTTTTTTTTTTGAATAATTAATAAATTAATCGAAATTTTAATAAATCTAAAAAATAAAATTGATATTGAAATTTATGGATTAAATTAATTTTTAAGTGAAAGAAATATAAATGAATTATAGGATTAATTATAGCTGTCCATAATTTATGCATATAATTTCTAAACATCTGGTAAATCTAGGAAAATTTTATGATTTCCATCTTGGCATTTCTCATCCAAAGTTTGATCAATAAAAATAATACTTACATTTTACAATCGTAAGCATTTTGCAAACAATAATTTCATTTTGTAAACAATAACTTTCTTCATAAATCGAAATTCAAATGATCAATGAGTGAGCAATTAAAAAGTTTCGAAAATTTTAATAATAAATAATATATGATATAATATATAAATAAACTTTAAAATATTTGTCACTTAATGTTTACTTTCAAATTGTTTCATTTAATTTATTTCTATGAATTTATAACATATGATTAATTCATTTTGATAAATTTATAACATATGTGATAAAATTATTTTTAATTTACAAAACACTAAAATTTCACCATATGGTTAAAAAGAAAACAATTCTTGTTTGTTTGTTTTCATTTATTCAATATTTACTTCAATTATTTACTTAAATGATTAGCAGTTCTTTTCTTAATTACTTATAAAATAAATTATATAATTTATTTATACATAAAAACAAAATCATAGAAACTGCACAAAATAAAGAACAAAATAAAACAAAACAAAAAAAAAAAAAAAAAAAAAAAAAAACAAAAACAAAAAAGGTTATATTTGGACAAAATAATTTATTTTAGTAATTAAATTAATCGAAAAAATCTTTATTTAAATTTATTTTAAATAACTGAAAAAGAAATTATTATTCAATCAATTATTTTTCAAAATAAAAAATTATTATCTAATTAATCAATTATTTTGTTTTTTTTTTTTTAAATTTCAAAAAATTTTTTTGCCTTCCTCGTTTTTCCTTTTTTTTTAAAATCATAATTTAATA